GACTTCATGAGAATTACTTTCCCGAACTAAATCTTTTTCTTTTGTCCCGCCTAGAATAGTGTGGATGGCGTTTGTCATATGTACCAGGCTCTTGCATAATTATCTGCACCAAAACAAAATTAGCAGCTTCGTCAACCTTTCGTGCCATCTAAAGAAGGAAATGAATCACAGAAGAACGCCAAAACAGCTGGAACTACGCTGCAACGCAACGCAACAGAGAAGACTGGCTGGCTCAGTTTTCCTATTGTGTAAGGTAAAAAAGGTAAAGTTATCCCTGTAACAGGCTGTGGAGGCCCATAGCATTATGAGACGACGAGGCTCCCACATTTTCTATACAATCGGCTCATAGATGGCGGTGAGGTCAGCGTTACGCGCTGGCCGACCTTCACCCCCAGGAATATTCCTGGTACTCATTTCTGTTAGAGGCTGAGTGGACCCCAGGGTCATAGTGCGGTTGGAAGGATTAGATAAACTGAAGAAAAAAGTCCATCTCGGGATTCGATCCCGCGACCTTCCGGCTTGTAGTTTTATTTTTATTCGCTTAATGGGGGGGTGGAGTCCAACTGGGTCCACTCGGCACGGCGGCCACTGAATGGCCTATTGTAGCCTGCCCCCGGTGATTATGATGATGGAGAATTTGGTGGAATGAAGATTGACAGGGGAAACCGAAGTACTCGGAGAAAACCCGCCTCAGCGCCATTTTGTCCACCACAAATCCCACCGGCTTGTAGCATGGTGCCTCAACCAACTACGCTACCGCGTGTCCCCGCCACTTGTTTTGCAGTCGCTCTGCCGTCTCCTGAGTCTGCGCTGCTGGATTCAGTTCCAGGTGTTCAGCTCATTCCGATAACATTTCTAGGAGCCAGAGTTGAACACATGTTACTGAATGGAGAAGAGCACATTGGGGAAACGGCAGCGCAACTCGCGGAGAGACTGACCAACTCAACTTCCAGGCAACGGAGCATGCCAGTCTTCTCACAATTGCGTTGCCGTGCGGTTTCGTAGTGTCAACTGTTCTGTAACCCGCTTCAGTGATTCATTTGTTTCTCAAGATGGCACGAAAGGTTGACGAAGCTGCTAATTTTGTTTTTGTGCAGTTAATTGAGCAAGAGCCTGATATATATATGACAAACGCCACCCAGACTATGCTAAGCAGGACAAAATAGATTGGGGTTGGGAAAGAATTTCTCATGAGAAGAAGGAGCCTGGATCCAGGTTAAAGTTCTTTCTAAACAATATAAGAGCGTCAGTTTAAATTGTCACAAAAGAACGGACGCACCAAATGTTTTCTTTTCTTAATATTATATTTAAGCATCCTTTTGCATTAATACACCATCTATTTAACATATATTTTCGCCTTAGATGCAACGTATTACATATTTATCCTTTTTCCACGTTACATATTTCGGCTGTATATGGCCATCATCAGGTGTCTTCTGTCTTGCTAAAATTGTTGAACTGTATATCAAAATTTCGTATCGCGTGTGAATGCGATTTCCAAATTAAAATAAAATGATCTTAATTAAACAATTTAATTAATATCCCAACATTTTCCTTACGTCATCGTTCTCTCTTCTCACGCCGCCTCAACCACCACCAAATTATGGCAGGATCAGTATTATTATCTCACACTTCAGAGTGTAAGTGCACGAAATAAAAAAAAAATACAATCATGCATAACGTCGGACGAACATACCCACTTAATATGATGCGAGCAACTAATCAAACATAAGTTTCCTCGGTGTGCGCCTGCTAATCTGGAAACTAGTTGTCTGCTTGAAGTCGACGATTTTTCTCGGAAATTGCGGCTGCATTGCTCGTTTCCTTGGTGTGCCCTTGCCCTAAGTGACATAGGTTTGAACTTGTGCTGAAGTTGATACAAATATTATGTTTAATTTCTGTCGTTCCTTCTGGAACATATGGCATCTCTGAAAGCCGTTTCACTTCAGTTTCGTAATTTTACAGACAGTTAGTAATAGTCCCTGGAAGGAGGAATAGCCCGACGTAAGGCCGCTATCTTACTTGCTTATGGAGCTGAGCCTTTCTTGAGGAGAAGCCAAGTCTGCAGCTACTCAAGAATTTCCCAGCATTTTTTGGAACCCGAAGGTTCATTACCGTGTTCACAAGAGCCATCCACTGGTACCTATCCTGAGCCAGATCAATCTAATCCATACCATCTCATCCTATCTCTCTAAAATCCATTTTAATATTGTCCACCCACCTGTACCTTTGTCTTCCCAGTGGTCTCTTTCATTCTGACTTTCCCACCTATGTCCTATATGCATTACTTTTCTCCATTCGTGCTACATGCCCTACCCACCTCATCCTCCTCGACTTGAGCATTCTAATTATACTTGGAGAAGAGTACAAGTTATGAAGCTCCTCATTATGCAGTTTTCTCCAACCTCCTGTCACTTCATCTCTCTTCGGTCAAAATATTCTCCTCAACGCCCTGTTCTCAAACACCCTCAGTCTATGTTCCTCTCTTAATGCCAGAGACCAAGTTTCACACCCATACAGAACCACAGGCAAAATTATAGTTTTGTATATTCTAATTTTTATGTTTTTGGACAGCAGACGAGAAGACAAAAGGTTCTGGACTGAATGGTAGCAAACATTACCAGAGTTCAATCTTCTCTTAATTTCCTCATCAATCAGGTTTTGATTTGTTATCATTGTTCCCAAATATCTGAACTGTGCCACATTTTCAAAACATCTGATTCCTATCTTTATGTCATGATTTTGCCCAGCATTTTGGTGACGAGAGAGCAACATATACTTAGTTTTCTCTGTGTTTACTTCTAGACCAACCTCCTTACTTGCGTCAGTTAAAGTTTGTAAGGCCGCTACCTACGCAGGACAAAACAAAGAGACATCCATTCCTCGGGTAAGATTCGAACCTGCGATCCCAGTGTTTGAGCTGGCGAATACATTTCATGTCGTAGACCGCGCGAGCATTGTGATCAGCAAGTTGTTATAAAGCCTACTCATTATTCTCGGCTGAACCCCGTCCAGTTTAACTGCGACTTTACATGATGCAGAAATGGAGCTTTATCTATTTCCCGTTTTTCAAGTGTTCTGTTTTACGTAAGAAAGGAAGGAGAAATCCAGGAAGACAACAGAAGAGATGGAAGTAGCAGGTTTTAACGGAACCTAATCGGTGTTCTATAATGAGCTAAATATTTCAGTGCACTTTACTTCCGTCGCGAATGATACGAAGTTGATGCTGATCGTGCTGACGGTTGCAGTCTGAAGTACACGTATGCACATAGTTACAGGGCGGTCATGGTCAGACAATGAACTAAACAGTACACACGTAAGGTACTCTAGTGCGTGCAGCACATATATAATTTGTACAGTAAAAAGGAAAGGTTGTCCCTGTGCTTAACTAACTAAGCACTACACCATGAAGGTGTATGTGGGGGTGGATGCATAGATCCGGCACTAGCTGGAGGTGAGTGGTCAGCTTCACGCCCCTGCAGCTTTACCGCCGGAGAAAGAGCCCCCGGTACCCATTGGATAAGAGGCAGAGTGAGCCCAAGAGCCGGTCTGGACGACTTGGAGAAGAGAAAATTCTCGAACTCCGACCCCTCGGTCATACAGTCAGCAGCCAGACGCTATCCAGACCCTAATTGTATACTAATATTGAAGATAGCATGCTGTTTTGACTGCCGATTAATTAAATGAAACGAGATTAAAGTTATATTGTTATCTAACATAGTTCAGTTGGTATAGCAACGGGTTACAGGCTGGACGGTCGGTGTTCGATTCTCGGCAGAGGTAAGATTCTTTTCTCCACAGCGTTCAGACTCGCTCTGGGGCTGCTCACCTAGCCTCCAATCCAATAGTTAGTTAGTTAGAGAGGGTGGGTTTCCCCATGCACCGCGACCAGTTTGATCTATTGTGCTTCCCTCTATGATATTCTACCAGTCTATACCCTACCGATAAATGGTGCGTACCATCAGTCCCGCCGAGCTAGCGAGTTCGGCCACTTGCTTAGCGGTGTCTATAATGCTTCCCCCATCTATCAGAGGCCTTAGAGACTATTGTTGGGCGGGAAACGTCCTGGAATTTGGCTCAGTGATCCCCTTTGGGGATATGAGGTTCTCTTACGTGCCGTAAAGTTACGACACGGGACACACAGCTTAAAGTCCCTCCCGGAGGACTTGTTCCCTGAATGTTTCCGCCCTTAAAAATTCGACGACCTTCGCCGGGTATTTGAACCCGCGTACTACGAGTCATGAGGTGGGAACGTTACCTCTAGACTACGGAGGCCGCTTCCGATCCAATAAGTATCGGGGGCTGTTTCCCTGGGATTACAGCGGCAGGGGCGTGAGGCTGGCAACTCACTTTCATCTTTTGCCGACATCAAGAATGGTGGATACCTCCATTCCCCCATACCTCTTGATGGCGTGGCGCTTACTTGATTAAGCACAGGGACAACTTTATCAGTTGTTATTATCGAACATGTTGAGGCTATTACAGATTTCATTTCCAGCAAAGGTGCATGGAATAGGAAGATACCATCTTGGTGGTGGTGATGATCATGATAATAATGTCATGTTAATACCTGCAAATTTTAATGTAAACATTTTTCTACATATAGTTATGATTTTTAGGTCTTACAGCGTAAGGATCCATATTATGGCTTTCTGGGTTATGATACCGTGCAGTCTGGTACGTGGGTACCAACCTTCCTGGAGGCAGTATGGTCCTCCAAAATGTTGGTACCCTCATAACCAGACTGCACGGTGTCATGGCCCAGAAGAGCACAATATGAACACGTAACGCAATTGGCCGAAGATTAATTTTTGATTCTGTGCGGTGTGCTAAGTCCGTAACAATCGGTTTGTGTCGGAAAAATATGAACATCAACAACATCGAGGTATGAAAATTTTCTGAGAACACTTTTGGGGAAAGCGTACTGCGAACTTAAGACATACTTCTTCCTGTTATAGCGGAAATGCATGAAGTGATGGAACTTTCTGTGACTGTTGCAGTTCTGGGAGATCATCTCTGACGAGCATGGGATCGACCCCACTGGCATGTACCATGGCGACAATGATCTTCAGCTTGAGAGGATAAATGTGTACTACAACGAGGCAGCCCGTGAGTTCATTTCACTTTATTCTGAAGTGTCAATTAGGGATATAACGCCTTGTAGACCGTTGGCGTTTCGGAGGAATATATCGCCTCCATCTTCGGAGCCGAAGATTAAGCCGAACAGGAAACAAGCATGAAAGCAGATGACAAGCAGCAAGCTCTGTTTACCATCTGCTTTCATGCTGGTATCTTGCTCGGCTTAATCTTCAGCTGCACCTGTTTAATCACGTGTTTATACACACACACATACAGTGATCAGTGCATCATCACAAGCCATTTGTTCAATTACCACATGCTTAATGTAAATTGAACGTTATGTTTCGGCCACATAGGGTCATCTTCAGGTATATTCATTCGGAATGGGCCCAGTTCGAATCTTGGTCGTGGCATCGACTATGCAGATTGAGGGTTTTCTTGGTTTCCCTTGGTCCCTTCCCCAGATAAATGCCAGGATATTGCCTTAATTAGTCGATGACAGTTTCTTCGGAATACTTTTCGGTTAATATTTCACTAGTTATCCAACCATTCAACGCTATACGTTGTCTATTATTTGACAGCCCGTCGTTAGATTATCCCCCCCCCAAAAAAAAATAACATTGTGGAGGCGTTTATGACAGCAGTGGACTTTGACCGCCGGGAAAATTCCCAGTAAAACGCCATCCTACACCGTGAATCCCTGCAGGACTTAAGCTTACGCAATGAATAGCAAGAAAACGAATTTCCAAGAAACTCCGAAGTGGTAAAGACTCGAGAGGTGAAATACGCCACTGTTGCACGGATCGGCTACAGTCTTGGAAATATCGCGTGCTTTAGGGGGGATCACGTGTTGCCTAGCGGCGGAGAAACCGGGTCACCTAGGCACCTCGATCGGGCGATATTTATAAAACCGTCCAGACGGGTGACAGACGCACGGAGCATTCCTAAAGCAACTTCGTGGGCAGCGAATTATCCGGCGTCAGCTTAGGACGCCCACAGATAGGATGGGGGAGAATGGTTGATATGCATATCCATTGTTTATTTAAAGTCACTGTTTGAAGACCAACTCAGACTCTATAGCATCGAATGATAATGATTAATGAATTGGAAAAGATCTGGAAGGAAGCGATCGTAGCCTAATCGACATTTGGTCGGAGGGACCAAGGAAAACAACATAAAATCGTCAGGATATCCGGTGTATGGGCCGAGAGTCGAATCGAGTACTGTCAAAATACGAATCTCGAGCAGTGGTTCTCAATCGGTGTGCCGAAAACTACGAATTGCGCCGTGAAATTTTGAGAATTATTGTTTTGCACAATATAATCGTACATTTGCGTAAATTGTTGGAAACTAATATTTGTAACAAAACTTTATTACCATTCTGTTTTACGATAATTTTATGTTTTTCGTAATATTTAATAAATAGGTACAATTTTATTATAAATTTTAGTTCCAAATTCTAATTCTAGTGCGAATATCCCAAGTGTGCCAACAGAACCAAGAGGTTTTGTAAGTCTGTATGAATTAAACGACAGAGACCAGCTCCACACCGGAACAGCACCCCTCATAACAAGACCAAACCACAAGCATAAAACGAACATAGAAAAACATAGAAATCAAGACACCGCATACCCACAGACCAGCCGAATGCACAACTAGAACAGCAATACCAGTTCATACGGGGAACAAATTCCATAACATCAACAAGAACTTGGAGCGCAGCGTCTGGATTCGCCAAAACCCGAAATGCAAGAGGCATGTCATAATATCATCTTCGCTGTCTCTGTATGCCTCTAAAGCCCATTGTTGGTCCTTGGCCGCTTTTTCACGTTCTTAATCCTATACACATTCGGTAGGACTCCATGGACGGGGGATCGGTTAGTCGCAAGGCCGCTACCTACACACAGAACAACATAAACAGAATCAAAGCACACAGAAATCAGTGCCTCGTGTGGGATTGGTACCCACGATCCCAGCGTTCGAGCGAGCGAAGACAGTTCATGCATTAGACCCGCGCGGCCACTGTGATGGGCACAGTACTCAGTTGGCCATATACAAAACAGGCGTTACGTAAAACATGATGGTAAACATTGGCCCACTGTAAGGGAACTAGCGGACCAGAGGAAAAGGTCAGTGTAATAAAAGATACCTGATGATGGCCAAAGAAAGGGTCGATCATGTATAGTTAATATCTGATGTATAATGTAACGATACGAACGTTATAATGACGGGAACATTAATAGAAGTGACGAGAGTGGACAACGTTGATAGTTTAGCGAGTCAGTAATACAATTAACTATAAGCCTCTAATCAAACAACATGAGAATCAAGGACTCCGCTCCCATGGCTTTCAAGGCGTACAATCTGCGAACTGACGTATGGAGGAGTGGATGTATAGACCCACGTCTTCTTGACCTTGGCACTTGGAGGTGAATGGTCAGTTTCATGCCCCGGCCGTGTTACCCCCCGGTGAAAGAACCCCCGAACCCATAGTATAGGAGGTTGGGTGGGCCCAAGAGTCATTCTGGACGATAAGGAGAAGTGAAAATTCTTGCCTCCACCGGGACTCGAACTCCGACCGCTTGGTCTCCAGCCCATAGCAAGTTGCTAAACCGACTGGGCTATCCCGGATGTTTTTTTAAATAATGTTTCCAAAAAATTTGCCGCAGTGAGGTAGGGAACTGCGTGCGTTTTGTTGTGCGATGGTGTTCTGTTTACATGTTTTACACCCAAAATCATTCAACAAGTGTTGCGTAAATTTGTAACAGGGGGTCATGGACGCTACCTGCGATGAAGGGGGGGACGTGCCAGGAATCTTCCCCCACCAGATTTAAAAATAATGGAAACCAAGGGCAGAAGGAAATATGCCAAATATTAATATAAAAATCAAAAGTGTATTCTAAAAGAAACATTCTTCTGTCTTAAATATTTTAAGGCGATCAGTATAAATGTTTTTAATGACTCAAACGTAAGCCTGTAAGCAAATTATCTGACTGGCTTTCCCCACTTTGGAAAAACAGCCCAGGCAAATCCTATATTATTGTGAGTAGACACTATAAAAAGTTGTAAAGTTGATTTCATTTGTTGACCATAGGGTGTAACATAATTCCAGTGAAGCTGTGATTTTAGAACCCTTGTTAAAACGGGGCTACGCTCTTTTCTTTGAATTCACAGAATATTGATTGATGGTTGGCGGACATCTGCACGCCATGGCGACGGCAATTCTAAATTTAGTCATAATAAGTAATTAATGCTCTAGCCTTTGCAGTAAAACTTCAGTCGCCATGAAGAGGTCAGGTTTATTACACTGTATTTAGTCAAGCTGTCAGTAGCCCATTCACGAAATTAAGAGGTGATTGAATTCGGGTAATGCTTGCTACCATTCAGTTCAGAACCCTTTGTCTTTTCATCTGCTGTCTAAAGAGGCAAAAATTAGAGTATACAAAACTATAATGTTGCCTCTTGCTTTGTATTGGTGTGAAACTTGGTCTCTGACATTAAGGGAGGAACATAGACTGAGGGTGTTTGAGAACAGGGTGCTGAAGGGAATATTTAGACCAAAGAGGGATGAAGTGACAGGAGGTTTGAGAAAACTGCATAATGAGGAGCTCCATAACTTATACTCTTCACCAAATATAATTAGAATGATCATTTGAAGGAAGATTAGATGGGAAGGGCATGTAGCACGCATTGGAAGAAAACTGAAGAGGAGGAGGAGAAGAAGAATAATGCATGCAGGATTTTGGCGGGAAAGCCAAAAGGAAAGAGACCACTGGGAAGACCTAGACGTAGGTTGAAGGATAATATTAAACTGGATTTTAGATAGTATGAGGGGTATGGACAGGATTGATCTGGCTGAGGATAGGAACCAGTGGACGGCACTTGTGATCACGGCAATGAACCTTCGGGTTTCGTAAAATTTTGGGAAATTCTAGAGTTGCTGAGCGACTGGCAGTTTTTTTCAAGAAGGGCTCAGCTCCGTGGAGTTAGTTGGGTAGTCAGTAGCTCATAATACAGCGTGAAGTAAGAGACTGACTAATGAAATGATGAATTGGAAAGGATTTGAAAGGAAGTGGACTTGGCCTGTGTGAATGTACTGTCCTGGCGTTTGCCTAGAGGAACTGAAGAAAACGGTGAGAGATCTCAGGCGGGATAGTCAGTGTCGAGATTCGAACCTCTCCGAACAGAAGTCAGAAGTGTAACTTCGGTCCGTGAAGAAATTACAGGGGTCAGGGAAACAGATTGTATATAATGGGGGGGGGGGCGGAAGTTACGAACCCCACAAAGGAGGCGGGAAGGAGAAGCGCCGAGAACCTAATTTTGTGTACAGTGGTTTGAAGAGCATGAAGGTGAACTTCAACATCTTTCCTGGCCAGCACAATCACCATATCTGAACATCACTGAACCACTTCGGTCAGTTTTGGGAACTAGCTAGAGGCACAGATTCTGACCTCCAACATCTCTAAAGCAACTTGAAGAGGTTCTTCAATAAGAATGGTATAAAATTCCACTAGAGACTGTTCGAAACTCATACGAGTCCATTCCAAGAAGGATTGCGGCTGTATTGAAGGCAAAAAGATGGTCCAACACCATATTAATAACGAAATGTTTACAGTATCTATAGTGTTTCCATTATTTCGTCCAACCCGGTAATTTCTATTGTTATTGTTTTCTAGGCGGCAAGTATGTACCGCGAGCAATTCTGGTGGACCTCGAACCCGGAACCATGGATTCAGTACGCTCGGGACCGTTCGGGCAGCTGTTCAGACCGGACAACTATGTGTTCGGACAGAGTGGGGCAGGTGGGTTACTTTTCTGCTTCTTTAAGGGGAAGTTATAATCCTTGTATTCATAATATTAGTTTTTATCAAATTCAGATGAACTGTGTAAGCATTTACGAAGCTCCACATTCGTGACATCTGGTAGACATATGATTTTGGGTCTGCAGATCCACTGACTATTTTACAGAGATTTATTTCTAAACTTTTTTTTCATGATGATGAAATAAATTGTCTTTAGGAAATATAATTATGACCTTGGGTTTTTGCAGCTTTAGCATAATGCATGACTTCAGCTTTCAGGATTATGTCACGTAGAATGTTAGATGTTTTCCATTGTTTCGGAAAATATTGCAAATGCCATTTTCAGTATTGATAACTTGGGGGGGGGATCTGTATAAGAGCTGTCAAAATCACCCCAAAATAATTGACTGTGGAAATGGCAACAGCAGTGTTTGCCAAAACGTTGAAAGAAACTTCAGCACTCTAGGCTGCGTATTCCTGAAGAAATGTGTCATAATGTGAATCATGTTTCCAAGTAAATCACTGTAGAAATAAGTATGGTGCGTTCAGTGTGATGACAAGGTTTTATAATGTCAAAAGGGAACAACTGGGCAAAAGGCCACTACACAGAAGGTGCCGAGCTAGTGGATTCTGTTCTGGATGTCCTGCGCAAAGAGGCAGAAGCCTGTGACTGCTTGCAGGGGTTCCAGCTGGCCCACTCACTGGGCGGGGGCACAGGCTCTGGCATGGGGACATTGCTCATATCCAAGATACGAGAGGAATACCCCGACAGAATAATGAACACATTCAGTGTTGTGCCTTCTCCAAAGGTAGGCGCCACGGAAATTAAAAGAGGCAGGAAGATGTCTCTTTTATTGCAGAGAAAAATCTGCTGTTGCAAAGAGATTCACAGATACTGAAATTCTTTTGTGTTGAACGTGGTTAACTCTCTGAAGCATCAGGTTCATCCGTATAATTTTGAAACTTTCAGTGCTTAAAGCTGCATCTTCCTTTCATCTTATGAAGCACATGGAAATGCACTGTGCAGGCTGCACACTTAGCTTCTGAAGCTTCTGACATTGCTTTTATCTTACAGTCTTACATCTGTTACTGTATTTACAGTTCATTAGTGAAATGCCCGTTGAAAATTAATATCATCCCCTATTTATAGCTACAGTTTCCACAGATAACCCTTCAGTTGCTACACTCTTGCACATTATCGGTCTTGAGACGTGTTTCATCACCATAATTTTACAGAATATACATGCTGTTATCTTGAAAAGTTGTGGAAAGACAGCTTGATAACAGGTAAAAAAAAAGGTTAAATTTGTCCTTGCGCTTAACTAATTGAGCACTATACCATGAAAACATACAGGGGAGTGGATGTATAGGTCCACCATTCTTGCTCTCGGCATTAGAAGGAAGTGAGTGGCAAGCTTCACGTCCTGGTCATTTTATCCCCAGTGAAATAGCCTCCAGTACCCATCGGATAGGAGGCTGGGTGTGCTGCCTGGATGTTGTGGAGAACAGAAATTTTGCTCCCACTGAAAATCAAACCCTGGCCGTCCAGTACGTAGCGCATTGCCATACAGACTAAACTGTCCGGACTGTAAGACAGCTTGAATGAGTATAATAATATTATATTTCGGCACCCTGTTGCAGTGAAGCATCTCACTTATAGCCTTCTCCCGTCTATAATGCAACATTATTATTATTATTATTATTATTATTATTATTATTATTATTATTATTATTAATTTTGATGTTATAGGATCTCTGTTCTTCCTATTTCTTGTATTGCACTTACTCTGCAGTGTATATAATATGTTTATTAGTATGATTCTGTCCTTAATTCTTTGGTTATGCTACTTTTGTGTGCCTGTATAATAATAACAACAATAATAGTTGTGTAATATGGGCGCTGGTGAGGGCAAGCCAGGCATCTGCCCCTACACGGATATCTTTAAAAAAGACATGGAAAAGCAAAGGAAATATACCATACATTAGTGCAAAAATCTGTATGGGTTTCTAAATGCATTCTGCACCAAATACTTAGGGCAGTCAGTAAAAATATCTATAAACGGCCTAAACGTAAGATTTTACACAAATTATGTGCCCCCCCCCCGGGAAAAGCCTGGTGGCACCCAGGGTAATGATGCCTCTTTTTCACAAAGGTGGGAACTGTAATACAAACCGAAACACTGCTATTTATTGCCATCTTCTGGATGTATCATAACTAACGGAGATTATGTTGGATTTGAGATTCTGTTGACAGTGACTGTGAAAAGTGTAGGGTCTTCTGGGTTGTAACGCCTGTAATTCGACCCTGAAGATGGAGACATTATGTTCTTTCAAACCTTGGGCTGTCTTGCTTAACTTCAATGCTTGGCGCTTTTGCAAAACAAGGTGCTGGGATTTGAAACCATTACCACAAATATGTTCTGAAACTAATGATGTTAATGAAAAGTAATGTAGCACCCAGGCCGCGCCATAGCTCAAGCGGTTAATCATTGGCTTCCCACTGCGGTGGCCCGGGTTTGAGCCCTGATCTGGTCAAGTGGGATTTGTGGTGGACAAAGTGGCGCTGGGGCGGGTTTTATCCGAGTACTTCGGTTTCCCCTGCCAATCAGTGGCCACTGTGCTGAGTGGACCCAGCTGGACTCCACCCCCCACTATGCGAAATTTTAAACATAGCACCCATTGTGAATTCAATAAGTATCATTTGTTTTATAATCTATTACACTGTTAACCTCCCATGCTCTCTCTCTCTCTGTTTCCAGTCCTACATGTCCTCAAACGATGCTTCGAGGCTGATGTTTGATGCCACTTCGCAAATAACACACACAAAGTGTAATAAATCTCATTCTTACAAAAAGCGTTACACATACACACATCTGTAAAATAATATTGTTTCCAGCTTTATCCAATCATACTGTGAAAAACTGGACCAGATTTGTACATACCACAATCATGGGTGGAGGAAAAAGGATTTCCAGAGCTGGGTAGATGCTACAGATCAGTAGAGTGTCTGGTGGGATGACCAACATACTCGTATATAATGGAAATTCGTACATAGTAGGATCATGAATTTGTTCTACATGTATCATTGTAGGAATGCTAGTTATGACATCTTAAGGCACTGGGAAAAGTTTCCACGAAATGAAGCGCTCTGGAACTAAACAGACAGTATGTACTCATGTCTGCCGACCATTTCCACCCCTCTGACCATTATTCCCCACATATCAATTGTTGAACAACGTATATAGCATCAGTAGTTAACTTTTTGTCAGGCCTAAAAGGTAAAGTTGTCCCTGTACTTAAGTAATTAAGCACTGCACCATGAAGGCATATGGGGATGTTGGTGTATAGATCCACATTTTCTTGACCTTGGCACTAGTTGGAGGTGAATGGTCAGCTTCACATTTCGGCCGCTTTACCCCCGGTACCCATTGGATAGGAGGTTGGGTGGACGACATGGAGAAGAAAAAATTCTTGACCCTACCGGGACTCGAACTCTTGACCCCTCAGTAATCCAGCCCATAGATAATTGCTATACCGACTATGCTATCCCAGCTCGCAATAACAAGAATGGTCCTTTCACTAATCCTATCCGCACTGGGTGGTAATTGGGATGATCGGAACTCTTTTGTAGGGATAACAGGGTAAAATATCTGCTTTGAAAGGTTATATAGATGGTATTACTGGGTTGCTGTGCTGCAGCCATCACCTAGTATCGTGAACATATCACAACCAGCTCTTTACTACCCTGAACAGATCGCATTTTGAAAACTGATATATTTCCTGTCTCAGATGGCAAAGTGGACAGGCATACATGTATATTCATTTGGACCTGTTAGATAGAGCTAATCTCAGTTATTAAAGAACCTCAGTCATAAAAAGAACTTGTGGATGGGATGATAACGTAAAAATGTATCTTATATGATTAGGTTGTTAGTATGTGAACTGGAATAAAAATCTGAAGACAGGATCTGCCATGTGGTGACAGTGATGAAGTGTGGGCTTCCATTACAAACAGTATCAAACCAGATGAGTAAATATCAGCTGCTCAAGGAGAACTCCATACCATGTAGTTAGGTACAGACTGTATTTTTAGACCTGGTCTCAGGATTATTAGTAACGAAAAATATGGTAGGAAGTAACATGGCAGTAATTGCAGCTGCGCTGTGAGAGGGAGGGTGATACAGTGTAACTATGACTCCTGTTATAAACCATACCCTACAATCGTTATCTCAGTTAGTGGACTCGAATTATTCACAGAGAATGCTGTCCAGAACAGCCAAGTCTAAAAATATGTACGTTAATTAGGAATCAATCACTCAGTTGAAGGGTTTCATGTAGCAAAATGTGTGAAATCTTTGTACTGTGCTGACAGTGTTTTCAGTGCTTGTGTAAAACTGTCTGCTTACTGTGTGGATATCTTGCTTGTTGGTTGGGCTGGCAAGTTGTGTGCCGTATGCTTACAGGTGTCAGACACAGTGGTAGAGCCATACAATGCAACCCTATCAGTGCATCAGTTGGTTGAGAACACTGATGAGACATTCTGCATAGACAACGAGGCTCTGTACGACATCTGTTTTCGCACGCTCAAACTCACCTCACCCACATACGGGGATCTCAACCATCTCGTCTCCGTAAGTAGGGAAGGGGTTACTGTACCACAGTACACAATTTCTTTCAGGTATCTAAAGTGGTTTTGGAACCCTACAATGCAGTGCTTTCAGCGCACCAGTTGGTGGAAACAGCAGTGGAACTTACTGCATTGACAATGAAGCTTTATGTGATATCTGCATTAGGAACCTGTGTCTCACAGAGCCAACCTACAGGGACCTCAATGAGCTAGTGTCTGTGAGTACTGACTGGAGGGAACACTTGCATTCATGTGTTATATTCACTTCAGATGTCACTGCCACATCTGTTACATCTGACTCATCTGATTTTAGTGAAAACCTAAAGGAAAGAGACCACTTAGAGCAGGCATGTCCAACTTCAAACAGGTTGTGATCGACTTTTTAGTGTCAAAACTGCCAGTGATCTTCCACGCCCTCCTCCTATCATCATACCTCGCTTTAAACAAAAATATTGGTAAAAATAACATGACACATGATGTTTGTTGTAAAAGCAACTAGTAACTGGGCTGTGTGTCTGTGTGTAGATTCTTCCAGTTGGAGGGAGAAAGCAATACAATTGGAAACATCTTTCAACAACTGTCCAGTTATGTTTCCACATATCATTTCTACTCGCCGCACAGTGGTGTTTCTTGATAATTGAAGATCTTGAATAGTAGCTATGATCTCTTTCTTATTTTTAAGTCCTTCAAAAAGATTATCAGCTATTTCAAGAAAACACTCTTCTACAAATTCCCCTTTAGTGAAAGGTTTGCATTTTTTAACAATCAGATTGCTGACCTTGAAGGATGATTTGGTTGCATTGTTAGAAAGTGACCTTGGTTTTGCCATCAGCTGTTGTTGAGCAGCTAAGTTCGATTTAAGTTCTTGGAGCTTAAGTGTACGAATTTCACATTTGGGTGGAAAATCAGCATCATACTTATTGCTATGGAGAGTATTATAATGACATTCCAGGTTACCTTTTTTTTGTCAAGGATACTGAGGCGTTGCATTTTCCACTATATTGAGGTAACTGTTTTGTCTGGCACATGCACACAGACACTTTCAAAATTAATAAAATAACGTGGGCAGGCACTTACTGTCCCTTTGATTACAGTGAGCTAATCCCCAAACTCTATATTTGTTTAATGCACAGCAAAGCAACAAATCTCCACTAACAGCTAATATAATAATACGTCTCACTTGTTAGTTCAACAAACGGGGATTCACAGTTGACTGGAGGGAGGGAACGAAGTGAATCACACATTCTGTCGATCACTCTTGCACCAGAACACACACGGCTGACAACGAGTGATGAAACAGAGTCCATGTGATAAGCATAGAGTAGGGACTTCCCCACAGTTCACTTAACACAAGTGTAAAGCAATTTTCACGTAAGCTACATAAGAACAGAAAAATAGGACTAATACGTATTTTCCCTTCAAAATCTGAATATAATCATATTATATTACAAGTGAATTAACATGCTTTTCACGTATAATTTCCTTATAGGACTATGAGATGGACCAAAAATCGTCCTGCGATTGATGCGTTGGACATGCCTGACTTAGAGGATCTAAATACTGATGGGAAATTATAAAAAGAGTTCTTGTAAGAAATAGGATGGAAGGGTGTGGAATGGATTAATCCACCTAACGATAGGAACCAATGGTGAGCTTTTGTCAACACCATGATGAACCTTTGGGTTCCATAATCCGCTGGGAATTCCTTGATAAACTGATCAACTGTTAACTTCTCATGAATAACTGTTCTATGGATGCATTTTGTTATATTTCAGTTCAGAATCTACAATTAACCTGTCTACTATCCAAAACGATATTATAAAAATAAGTGGAAAAGTGTTCAGTAGTACTTCATTGGTGGTGTTAATGTGGAATAATCTTATGTCCCCAGAAAAGTGTCCAGTTTGTATCCATCATGCAAAAAAGAGAAATGCTTTTGAAAGTTAGCCTGGTAAGGACTATTGCACACTCAGGAAGTGGTGATAGGCATTGTCAAATGTATGAGTGATTATAGACAGGGTTTGGTTTGCTAATTAGATTTATTGAACACTTACAGATGGTAACTACAAGTAATTATATTGATGTTGCTAATACACTTTACAATTCACTACAGCACTCACTAAGTCTTCTCAGTCTCTTCTATCTCCACTGGTTGTCACCTCGTAATGTCTTCCAAATCCATAGCTTCCTCAGTTTCCATGTTTACATCCTTACTGGCTGGCATCTGTCTCACAACCAACAAAACTCTAGACTTGTCCTGTTTGTATTAACACCTCAGCACAGCCCGCATAGAAAACACCTCTCCAAATAGCTCTTCTGTTGCTGCATCACGTGGCTGTTGCAAGGACTGTAAAACACTGCTTTCAAGTTAGTCGATTGGTGCTTGTTAGGAAACTTTTGTGGCTATTGCCTAGCAACAGCCATTGCTTACAGAGTCATTACTTAGCAACAGGTCTACATGCTACAGTATGTATCAAGCAGTGGTGGAGTAATGATTAGCAGGGGAAAACTGAAGGAACTCAGAAACCTGATACAGAGTCACTTCATCCACCATGAATCTCACATGAAGTTACTCAGGATTGAACCTGATATTCTGCGGTGAGATGCCAGCATCATCATGCCTGAGCTGTGGCATAGCCAGTTGGAAGTGCTTGGATATAAATTGTTGAGGGAAATATTTGGATCTAAATGGGGTGAATTTTATGTATGGTTTATTTAACAGTGATGTCAGTAGTCAGACTGTATAGTGTTGAATGGCATGATGATTAGCAGTGAGAGATGAGACTGGTTGTGGTCCAGAAGTTAATATAATTTAAATTGGTAATATTTTCATTGCGTGAAAATGTTCACTGAATGGATGTAGATATTCCTAAGTAGCAGTGTTGTTGGGTTGTAGAATTATGAGCTCAAATGTAACAGTATTTCTGAGACACTTTTTGAAAAGTACTGAGGGTAAGATTAAGAAGGGATAGAATTGTAAATTAAATTTTTTAGCAAGATGTTGTGATTCAGAATTTGTTAGCAGAACAGAAATGATTACAGTAGTCCAACTATGTAAAATTAATAAAAATAAAATTTGAAGGATGGGGTGACATGGAACAAATTAATTCAGATATGAGGGGTGGGAAGAGCTGCTAAGAAACTGATAAGGCAAGACTGTAGGAAGAAAAAAGCGACTGGAGACTGTCAGTCAAGCCATATAAAGTGGTTCTGATGCTAGAAGATAATAAATATTACAGTAAAGTAGCTAATACTCCTGCTTCATTTGGGAAATTTCAAATCTTCACCGAGCGACTGGTTATGCTGAAAGGCTTTTTGTGGTTTTCCCCAGTCCCTACAGGCAAATACTGGGCTAGAACCTCAAATTAAGCCACAACCACTAGCTTCCACATCCTTCCCAGCTTATTCACTAATCATTCTGTCACTCAGTGCTATGTAATGTGAACTACTAATAGCCTCGTTTAATGAGCTATATATAAGTAAATACTCTGCAGTCACTACAGTTAAATATCTACCAAGTGACTTTACTGTTTTTATTTCCACTAGGTCACAATGTCAGGGGTAACAACATGCCTGAGGTTCCCAGGCCAGTTGAACGCTGATCTCCGTAAACTGGCAGTCAATATGGTGCCTTTTCCACGCCTGCATTTCTTCATGCCTGGGTTTGCCCCACTGACAGCACGAGGGAGCCAACAGTACCGTGCCCTCACTGTGCCAGAACTCACACAACAGGTTGGTGGTAACATTGTCAAGTGTATCCTTAGTCTGGTATTTTTAAATACAACACAATTTAGGGGTTAGAGGTATTGCAGTAATGATAGTTTCAGTATTATGATTACAGTTAACATCACTGTCTTAACACTTGTGACAGTATAGTGTTCTGTCCAGTGTTAATCATCCCTGTGGTATAGGATATAGGACTGGAATTTTCGTGGTCATGTTTCTGAAGATGTTTTAAAGTAGTTTGTATGTGCATGCCACCACACCTCCCTCGAACCATGTTAAGTCCACACTCATATGCATTCTAAGATTATTTCAGTACTATCCTCCCGTCAGCACTTGTGTTTCTTATGTCATCTCTTTCCTTCAAGTTTCCAGACTAAAATTTTGTATGCATTTCCATCACCCATATGTACTACATGCCTGTTCTGAATTCCTGTTGTAAGGATATAATTAGTAAACAGTGAAATCCTCAAACATGCAAAACTTTCATGGCAGCTGAGAGTGATAAAATCTCAGGTTACCAACTGTGGTGTTCAGAACCAAAATCCTCTGGGATCCAGTGGAATAGAGCACTACACAGAAAAACCTTAATTGTAAGGAATACAGTCAATTTTTAACTTTGTCTCTGAAGCTGAACCTTCACTTTCTTCAAGCTATAAACAAGGTATTTCAATTAGAAGCATTGGTAGTTGAAGGCTATAGGCTGGATTCATTCTGTATTTGAGATCAGGGAACTCTGCTACCATTTTTCAACATTTCAAAATAATAATCATAGCTTTTTAATNAGGAAATCACCTCCTGCAGTTATGACCTAAAGTCGTGAAACACCCTTTATAGGTTACCATGAAAGCTTACACAAGAGGTTCTTTAAATAAAAGTAAGCATGGTAAGGAATAAATGAAGAAAATAAAACTATTTTACCCAATATCAGATTACTGTCAATAAACTTCAGCCTGGTGTCTTTAACCTGTTATATTTATTGAGGTTTCAGCTCAAACATGACTGCTGTGTTGCAGATGTTTGACGCTAAGAACATGATGGCAGCTTGCGACCCCCGTCATGGACGATACCTCACTGTAGCAGCCATCTTTAGGGGTATGATGTCCATGAAAGAGGTTGATGAACAGATGCTTAATGTTCAAAACAAGAATTCCAGGTAACAACAAAACGTTCATCTGTAAGAGTACATTCTTTGCGTACTTAAGGCAAACAGAACTGAAACTGCTAACTTTATTCAAATGAAGGTAGAATAAAATGTAAGCTGTGTACCCTGTCATGAGCATTCTCCCACCTCTGATTTCCAACAAATGTATTATGATATACTGCCATCAGCTTCGTCTTCTGGCAGGCTGCGCCATAGCTCAAGTGGTTAGTCGCTGGCTTCCCACCACGGCGGCCCAGGTTCGATCCCGGGTCTAGTCAAGTGGGATTTGTGGTGGACAAAGTGGCACTGGGGCAGGTTTTCTCCAAGTACTTCAGTTTCCCCTGCCAATCTTCATTCCACCAGGTGCTCCATAATCACCCTCACCTATCATCTGGAGCTGGTACAATAGGCCAGAAGTGGCCACAGTACAAGGGACTTAGTCCCACCCCACTAGCAATAAAAAAAATATTTTGGCACTACTTCCATTTTATAGAGGTAAACAAATTAAATGTCTAATCTCTTCCTTCTCCTAACCTTTCTTCGTGTTCTTGACTTTCTTGGTATTCTTCAACAAAGCAAAATTCTGTAACCTAAATGTTTGTAGTTTTGGGGTAACTGTAATTCTTCAAACTGCATTTATATATGTAAATACACATTACAGTTCTTGGGAAAATGTGACAGCATATCTCAGGGGGACAATTATTGTCCTGAGGTTTTCATGGCTGGAGTTCTTTGAACAATTTACACTTTCAGTAATATGCCATGTAGAATGTTGAAGAAGACTTTCCATTATGGCAAACACTGCCTTTGCCATCTTCAGAGTCGATGTCTTTGGAGTATGTTACGAAAGCTAGTATAGTTCTCCCAATGGGTAGTGAGTCGGAGATGAAAACATGGATGTAATATGGTAGCAGGGTAATTATATCTTCATGCAATCATGGCTTCACTGTTACTCATTGCCCACTGTGAGTTCTGTACAAGGGCTCCCAAAATCCACATAGAAACATTGACATAGCAACTGCAATGCTTGCTGAAACATTGTAAAACCTTCAGTATCCTGCAGAGCTTATTTCCAAAAATTGAAGTCATACTGATGGGGAAAGAATTAAGACATTGTGGTAAAAAAAGGGGCTAGTATGAAAAGTAACAGGAAGAAATGTAGTACACTGCTTGAGAAAAGCTGTGCGTAAAATATAGAAAAAGATGAGTGTTGCATTCACAGGATGTCACGTGCATTTATTTTTCAGTTACTTCGTGGAATGGATCCCAAATAACGTGAAGGTTGCAGTATGTGATATTCCTCCACGTGGTCTTCGGATGTCAGCAACATTCATTGGTAACACAACTGCAATCCAGGAGATATTCAGACGCATTTCTGAACAGTTCACAGCAATGTTTCGGCGCAAAGCATTCTTACACTGGTACACAGGAGAGGGGATGGATGAAATGGAGTTTACAGAAGCAGAATCCAACATGAATGATCTCGTGTCTGAATATCAGCAATATCAGGTAAAAAAAAAAAGCTTTCTGGTTCAAAATTCTAAAATATTTTCCCTCTTTTTTTAGGCAATGCCTCGGTAAATACATTCTCACAGGAATGAATGCACAAAACGAAGAACTGTTAGATGTATCGTTTTCTGTGCAGTCCATGTTGTATCACAGGAGAGTCTGCGTATCCCCCTATTGCAAGGCAAATAGCTAAGAAAACATGTTCCCACAGCAATGAAGAATTCTTGGATGTGTCATTTTCTGTGGTCCATGTCGTACTAAAGGAAAGCAGGCAAGTTCTACCCAGAACTTCTTGTTTTTACGAGATATATGTTAAATCCATTATAGCTGTCTTTGTTTAATTACACCTACAAATTTATGGCTTACTTAACAATGCTGTCAGTAGCTCATACTATATAGCACTGAATGGTAGAATTAGTGAGTAATGAACTGAAAAAGATGGGGAAGCAAGCAGCCGTGACCTACACAGAGATATTATCCTGGTATTGGTCTGAAGGGGCCAAAGAAGACCACTAATGATCTTAGGGTAGCTGGTCTCTGGGCCAAGATCTCAACCTGGAACCCCCAGAATACAAAGCAGAATTGTGAACCACTCAGCCATGTTTGGTTTAGTTGAAATGTACAGAATACAAAATTTGCTTCTTAGTACTTCCTTAAACTCACTTCAATTCAAATATTTTCAGACAATTTAATTTTGATATATTTATGATTCACCATCTTTGCCTCAATATAAAGTACCATTTATTCCCCTCCCTCAAAATACTGACTGTTCATTACGTTTGCACATAGGCATTTAAAAAAAAATATGGTTATTCATTAATATTATCATGTGTTAGTGACTGTGAGTTTGGATTGATCATTGGGTTTACTGAAATCTTACAACTTGTAACTAAAAGCAGTTATAATGCTGTTACTAATTTGTGCACTCTGCTTCTTGCTACAACACATGCTAAGTAAACTTCAGTTATCACCAGCCATTGATCGGTTATGGTTCCCAACACTGTGGATTCCTCAGCTTTCATGTTCATGTCCTTACTGGCTGGCGACTGTCTCAGTTAACCCATGATGACAGCTAACTCAAAGTCAAAGTCACTTTACTGCTGGCGGCTTACTGCTGATGTGTTTGACTCAGCGTCAAGCCCCTTGAGACCCACAATCAAAATTTCTTTTTTTCAACTGAACCATTGTAGTAGTAGCCCTTACATAATATCTCTGATTAGAAAATGGGTTTGCCTGTTATGAATATGCTTGGCCTTTCATCAAGTGTACATTTCACACATACAGTATGTTACTGAAAAATTCTTCCTTTTACACTACACAAACACACACACGTCCTCTGTCAGTACAGGCTTTGCAGACCAGATCATGTCTCTCTTACATAGCTTAGTTGGCAACTAACATTCTCAATTTCTTATATAGCCTTGGCACAGACCACATTCAACAATTCCTCTGTTGTTGCATGGTTATTCATTACTACAGAAACATGTTTAACCAGCTGTTGCTTGACAATGGATGTCCTTTCTGGCTGCTATTCCAGCTCCCATCCCTCATATCACAATATTAGTTAATTTTATGTTCTGATAACAACATACACAATTGCAATTAGAACGTTTGTCTGGAGTTCATCCTTTAACCTGAGAAGATTAAATTATATTTTGTATAACTGACATGTAAAAATATTATTTACCCATCAATGTAAACCTTCCTAATTGGAATGTTAGGAAAGAAAATTTTGACATTACATAGCACTATGCATTCCTTTTTCAGGATGCTACCGCCGAGGATGATGTTGAGTTTGATGAGGAAGAAGAGCTAGTGGAGGAAGCGGAATGATAATTCTTACACCACAGACACTGTCTTCCTTCATCCAATTTATAATGTTAAATAATAAAATAAGTTGATTTATAAATAAACTGTTCAAGGAAACAGAATGATAATTCTTACACCTTGTATACTGTCTTCTTTCATCATATTTGTAATGTTAAATAATAAAATAAATTGATTTATAAATAAACTTTTTAAAAATTTCATGTAAATCTTCTGTCATAAGGAAATTCCTAAACGTTTTAAAACATAAATGTGATTATGATAGTACCATATTCTAATCTAAAAACAGATGTACTTGAATGTGATTTATTTAAAGCAGGACAAAAATAGGTACATAAAGGAGAGCTAGCATTTTGATTAGACTGCTGCTGTCATGGATACTGTGAGGTAGTGTAGTCACTAAATCAAGGTTGCCTGATAAAAGAAGGAAATACTTACACATTTGTACTGTTCTATCTTGAATACAAACACATTTAACTGCAACAAAATTGGGCTAAATTTCAACTCAGTTCCTCAAGTGCAAGCATGTAAGCAGTCCTTTATGCTGGGTGGACTGCAACAAGGACAAAGCACTCCACTTTGAAAAATCAATATCTGACAAAACATTTTAACAGAAACATTCACACAGTGGGTGAAATTCAGTAACATTTACTGAAACAGTCATGAACAGGCAAAGAAACTCACAATAATGAAAATTTATGACCAGTAAGCAAATGAGACCACAAAACACAACTCATCACTGTCTAGGAGAAGAAAATATCCCCACTGTGATGCCATCAAATAAACAGGTGGGAGATCTCCCTTCTGTATGCTAGCTACAAAACTAAGGTTACAAAATGCAAACACATGGTTCCTGTTAATGGCAGAGACAAAACAGACCAAATCAGCTCCAATCAATGATACATTGTGTATAAGGTAAAGTTGTATTAATTAAGCACACCATGGAGACGCATGGGGAGTGGAGGTATAGCTCCACCATTCTTGACCTAGGCACCAGACAGAGGTCAGCTTCATGCCACAGCTGCTGTATCCCCAGTAGCCACTGAATGAGAAGCTGGGTGGGCCCCAAAGCCACTCTGAATACTGTAGAGCAGTGCTGTCCAACATTCTTACGTACTCGGGCACAATTCACTGATGCCTATGGAGGTGCGGGCGCCACCACACGCTCCACACACTACTACTACTACTACTACTAATAATAATAATAATAATAATTTGAATTAATATTAAAAATCGGCTCAATTATATGTGGTTACGGAGGGCGCCACGTTGGACAGGGCTGCTGTAGAGAAAGAAATCTCACCGCTGCCAGAAATCAATTCTTATGTCCAGCCTAGCCTTTCACTATACCAACTGAGCTATCCTGGCTTTCAGTACACTGTATATACTCACTATAAATTCAAGACACCAAGTTGAATAACCTGTTACACAGTGTAAGATTCATTTGCTATTTAATGATGCCATTTCAACCACAAAGGTTACAGTGACAAATGAGATTGAAAGATGCTGATGAATGGTTAACAGGTAACAGTTTGAAAGGAGGCAACGGCAGCTCATTTCAAGGCATTATCCAAGCATTTTCTTGGAGTCACTAAGAACACTTCAGTGAACATAACCAGAATTTGAACTATATATCATAACACAAAAGTATAGAGAATACCACTACCCTAATATGCGGAGTGCATATCAGAAAGGACTAAGGAAAGCTCAGGATAATGAGTGATGCAGACAAGATCCAAATGAGATACCTCCTGAATGTACATCACATACATTATCATTACATCATACTCCATACTTGCCACTGGATAGGAAAGAAGTATTTACAATATTTTGTTCTTCCCTACCTTCTGCATAGGTTAAATTTACTATGAAGCAGTTACAAATAATAAATTAACACTAAGAAATGGATCATTGTTAATAGAGATTAATCAGACAGCAGCCAACATACACTCTTATGTCTTCCAGAAAAAAAAAACGTGATTCTGAAATGCACTGCTCTGAAATTCTTGAAGCACTTTATTACTATTCTCCAAGGGAAGGCAAGGTAATTAATTACCAGTACCCCTCTGTACTGTAGAGGCTGGAAACTTCAGTGCAATTTTCAGATGATTTTTGCTGTTGCTACACTCAGGCTCAATATGTCCCTAAATGAACATCAGAAAAGTCAAGGTCAAACAGTTCTATCCACCACTTGCTCTTTCTTCACTGGAGGACAGCACAGAAGATATATTATTATCCATGTGTGAATCAAAATGCCTTAGGTATTGATTATAGCTTCCCATAATGATTTTTCAGTATTATGTATGGATGATGCTTTACAGTGATACGCATTGGACTGCAAATCTTCTCGCCACATTTCAATGTTCTGTTTTGTTATTCTACTGCTGTTCACACTGGCTTAGCACCACCGAACAAGGAATGCTTTCTTCTATTGGAAAGATATTTGTCTCGATACTTAGGGGAAAAACATAACGGCCAGTATGTAATAAATGAATTTATTAAGGTTGACTTCTGCATGGTAGTGCATACCTTCAGATTTTTCGATTATCTGTTCTTTTTAATTATCCATGCTGCTACTACCCTCTACGAGCTGGGATAGTGACTGGGTACGGGCTGGATGGCTGAAGTCCAAGTCCCAATAGGATCAAGAATTTTTTCTTCACATCATTCAGACCAGTTGTGGGGCGCACTCAACCTCCTATGCAATGGGTACATTGGGCTTTTCCAGGTGGTAAAGTGGCCATGCCATGGAGCTGACCACTCACCTCCAACTAGTGCTGAGGTCAAGAATATGCTGAGCTATACATCCACTCTCCCATACACCTTTGTGGCGTAGTACTTGGTCAATTAAGCACAAGCACAGGGACAACTTAACCGTCTTTACCTTTACTTCTACCCTCTATTACCACAGATACTCAAAGAGTAACTGTATCTACTTTTCTTTATGTTCTCCTTACACCAACAGTATGTGCTGTGATTTATGCACAACACACATGAAATATCCTCACATTTCTCTGCAGTGTCATGCAAAATACATATGAACACAGCAAGTTACAAATGGAAGACTGACTTATCAAGACAGGAAGTAGGAAACTAATCTTAATACTGTTTTGAAGATACCAAGTTCATATCTCAAATTATTTACATACTTAACTTTATTCATTCTGGTCTGTCACACTAGTAAACTAAATAATAGAATAATTGATAATATGGTCCAGTGTAATTCCATTTGTAGATATTTACTGTCTTTACATGTTTTGGTCAGCTGTGACAATCTTCAGATGGCATGAGATCAACATGTTAGGAACTGCTATTACAGAGCTCATAATACATACTTAGAGGCTATTATATAGAAAGTTATTTACAATTATTTAGATTAAAAATCTTTATTAATTTCTAATATTTAAGATCTTGAACCGATGTGGTTTGTGTCCTTGTGCCTCTTCTGTTAAAATGGAAAGTTTGGGTATTATTTGGCATCCTCATAGGTCCACACAGTGATGCTTCCTTTTTTTAGCTTGTTATGACTCTGCATTGTTGTGAAGTCTAGTTGTTTCCTTTTTGGCTGTGTATAGAGGCACACTGCATGGACATTCTATAAATTGCAAAATACAAATGGAAAGTATGGTAGAAATGTATTCCTATAATCCTGACATGCTTTGGCATCCTACTTGTAATGTTGGCTTCTCACCGTATCAAGCACTAACTCTTTCAATTGCATTGATGATTCATCAGTCAGATAATCATCAGATCACAACAGAATAATGCAGAGACTCAAAACTGAAAAGAGAAATCACTGGAAAACAAAAGGAATGCCAACTATAGGACATAGTTTGGTTTTAAACTGAAACAACCCCACAATAAAACTGCCAGCAGTGAAGATAACAGTGTAGGTGATGTGTCAAGTATATTCTTTCAAAACCATTTCCATGAAGGTTACTGTTTTTTGGGATGTGATGCTATGCAATCTGGTAATTGTTACCAATGTGGTGGAACAACCAGATTACAGAGAATCACTTCCCAGAAGGCAGCAGGATTCATACTCACTGCTGTCAGAATCCCAGTTCCACTTAGCCCCTTCCATTTTTGGTTTCAATCCGTACTGATCCAGAACCAAGCCTTGTGTGAAGCTAAAGTCAAAATATCCACTTTATCACAAAAACTGATCATACAAACATTTGTATAGAATGTAATATACATTTCATTCATATCTAAAAAATTTTATCAAGTATTTTTTTGACATGCATTTCAAAACGTAAAAATGGTAAAGTTATCCCTGTGCTTTAATTAAGCTGCACAACATGAAGATGTATGATGAAGTGGAGAAACGGCTTCACTATTCTTAATCTCCACACTAGAGTGGGAAGAGAAGTGGTCAGGTTAATGGCCCTGCTGCTCAACCCCATTACCCACCAAACAGGAAGTTCGGTGGGCCGCAAAGCTGGTCTGGATGCTGTGGAGAAGACTAAAGCCCTTGCCCCTGCTGGGACTTGAACCTTGACTCAACTGACCAGCTTGTAGCCTAGTCACTATCCTGACTAAACTACCCCGACTCCATAAAGATGATACAAATCAAATTAATTTATATCCCATCTTATTCCTGGCACAATGTATGTGACCAGTTGGGGTGAGTGATTAGTGAATGAAACAAGGGTGACTTAAGACAATTTTTTAAATTATGCCACACAGCAGAAGAAATGTATGAAGATCCTGACTGAGATGGATGAAGATGACTTTAGGTAGCTGAAAGTGAAAATACAGGGGCAAAAGGTAAATAACAAGAGGAGAATGGGCTTCTGTTGTAAAGGAGTCCAACGATTTTAGCCAGAGCGCAAAGGAGTAAGTACAGAAAACAGATCCACTTAGAATCTGCAGTGGGTTTGGACTGGAAAAGGGAGATTTTGGAGGATTTAACACACCAGCAGAATCCTGGATTATATAGTGTCAAATGACCAGATGATTGATGGATTAGAAACGATTCTGAAGGAAATATACATGATGTGAGGTGTTAGCTTCGCATTTCCTTGGAGCAACTATGGAGGGGGAGACCCACCAGGCTAAGATTTAGAATCAGCATCTCCTGATAGTTCTATACATCCGCCTGTTTGGTAACATTGAAATAAACCTTCAGGTTCCATAACGACAGAGAATTTATCAGTGGATTAACTACCAAATTTTGACAAAACATTCTGTATCATACAGCTAACAATGATTTCTAAGAATTGAAACATTTTTCAGTATAACATATTTAACAGATTCACTCTCAATCCCATTACCTGATGGGTTGAAGTTCAGTGTGTTCCAATGCCAATCCTGTGAAGTGTCAGTCTGTTGCCACTGTGCACATAAATATCTGATTTGTTGCCTGAGAAGATTATCATCACTTTAATATCAGTCTGGTTCACATCACACCCTATCTGAGGAACCCTAGGACAGACAGGAATCATTTAATTTAAAACACCATTAAGCTTCTTTCAAAATATAAAACTATTATGTGGCTCATAAGAAAATATTAGTCAACCCCATCTTCATAAATAAGCCTAAGAAAACTGTGGACAGAATTAATCAATGTTATCAAACCCCACATAAATACTGAACGTGTGAAGTTAGCAACAATTTCGAAGGCAATATTGCAGCAGACAAAAACATAATTTTAGTATTGGTACTAAACAGCTACTGGAAATAAGTTGGTGGGGAAGTGCCAAATTGAATTTAAAGATAATTTCAAAGCAATGCAATCCCACATGAATCTTGGGCACTGTGATTATCAAAGACACTAAACAAAGCACTGAGGAAGTAGTCAGTTCAGCAAGGTAACTGATTGAAACAGAACATTTTTAGATTTGTGTGAATCCCTGCCAAGGCACCTACAGTATAAAGACATCTGTCTGTCCCTTGTCACAAGGTGTAATTAATTAATGCATTGCTGTCCAACTTCAAACCATAATGGCAGGGTATTTCTTGATCAGTGGATTAACTACCAAATTTTAAAAATATATTCTGTATCAGATAACAATCATTTCTAAGATCTGAAACATTTTTCAATATAACATACCTGCTGAGCAATGCAGTTCTGAAGCAGATGGTGCTAAGCACAACTACAAATGATAATTCAAATACTGGTGGCCCTCAAATAGGTTTTGGGGGGAGACCAGCCTTAACTACAAATATTTGTCTCTCAGCTGCCAGAAACTTTAAAACTGCACTAAACATGATAATTTTGTGACAGTGTGAACAGAAAGTCAGTTATTACAGGAACAAGACATTCTTAACAACAAGGGAACTATCCTACCTGCTTAAAATGTGTTTATAACTTTCATTCAGAGATGCAAATTACAGAGAAATCCCCGTTTCAGATTTCTTTAGGGAGCAGTGAAAATGGAAATAGAAGTGATTCAGCACTGGGATGTGGGATCAATGAAACTGAAATGTTCAATGAAGGGAAACATTAAATCACAAAGCATAAAAGGGGTTTCACTTTATTTAGTAAATAATCTTCTGCTTATCATCCCCTGAATATATTTAATGAACACATTACTGCAAAGCAATATTAAGACTGAACAGGTCTGTACAGACTTTGCAATTCTCTCATCATCTTCCTCTGCAGATCCTCTACCTGTGACGTTGGTCGAAACTTGCGTGCTGCCAAAGCCTTTGCTTTCATTTTAACAATGTCATTGATACACAATTCACTGAAAGGTCGATGATCTAAGACCTCGCTCCTCAATAGTTTATCCACTCCAGTGATCATGTTATTGCAGCATGTCTGCTTTTCCACATTCCCAGAACTGTGATCTTCTGTAGATGTACTACTGCTGTTACTAAATGCTGTCAATATACTTACAATATTATTTGGATTATCTACTACTTCATTACTGCTGTTACTATTTAATGTCACTTTATTTATATCATTAGCTGGCTTATCTATCACTTCACTATTACACTTCTGCGTTGTCTGTGACAGAATCTTGGTCATATTGTCTTTGAATTCATTTGTAAATCTGAAAGACTTTTCAACTGTCTCACTGCAACTGACACTCCTACTTCTTGGTTTCTGTGCAGTTCCCCTGAAACTGTCACCACTTCTAAATCTTCTCCTTACCATGTCACTAACAGCAATGCTTGTATCGCAAGGGCATCTGCCATTTGGAAATCCCTTCCTGTCATTTTTTGCAACAGTCTTTTTCATCACTCTGTTCTGAACAAAAACATCTTTGTAAGTTTTGTGTCTGGAGAATGTGGACCTTGACACTTTGCAGCCTTCACTCCTGCTTTGAGATCTTGACTGGCGAGTATGTAGTGTATATTCAAAGTCAGGAGAAAGCCATGAAACATACTTTCTATTGCGTAACTCGCACCTGCTCTTACTGCGTGTCACAATCAGTGAATATGACCTGCCAAATACGCGGCGCCTAGTTCCTGAACTACTTGGTATGAGCTTCTGTCTTTTTGGTACCTGCAATGTTTTCCTGTTTTTTTCCCCTGACTGAACATTTATACCAGCAACATCTGGCTCACTACTTCCTCTTCCACTTGACTGAGAAACATCAAGAACTTTAACCTCTGAACACAAACCAACAGCCTCACACATTGAACGCAAATTCTCATTAATCCCATACTCTGAACTCAGACCACCGATTCCACATTCTGCTTGGGAATCACTGGTTCCATTTTCTGTGTGGATATTATCAACTACTACCTCTGAATGAGAATCATCAGCGCCATCATCTGCATGGAAATCATAAACTCGTAACTTGGCATGGGAATCAAAAACTCCTGTCTCTGCTTGGGAATCACCGGTTCCATTCTGTGTTCGGTTATTACTAACTCCTACCTCTGGCTGGGAATCATAAATTCCGATTTCAGCTTGAGAATCACTGGTTCCATTTTCTGTGTGGATATTATCAACTACTACCTCTGAATGAGAATCATAAACTCCTACCTTGGCATGGGAATCACCGGTTCCATTCTGTGTGTGGTTATTATTAACTCCTACTTCTGGCTGGGAATCATGAATTCCTACTTCAGCTTGAGAATCACTGGTTCCATTTTCTGTGTGGGTATTATCAACTCCTATCTCTGAATGGGAATCATAAACTCCTACTTCTGCTTGGAAATCAATGATTCCATTTTGTGTGTGGGCATTATCAACACCTATCTCTGAATGATAATCACCTACTCCTATCTCTGTATGAGAATTTTCAACAATACACTCTGCATAGGGATCAATGACAATAATTTCTGTGTGGAAATCACTGACTCCACTTCGAACATGGGAATCATCCACTAGATTTGATTCACCAACTAAAACTGCTGCATGGGGGTTGCCAACTTCAGTTCCCATATAGGAATCACACACTCCATTCTGTACCCCACAATTTAACTGTGAATCATGAGCTGCATAAATTTCTACCTGGTGAGCATCAACATTTCTGTTCTTGAGGTTATCATCGATCATCACCTGCACTGAGTCATGACCACAAACAACCCCATTCACTTCATGGAAGGCACCTGCTGTTTCACTGTCTAAATTGGAAGTACAAATACTCCCAATGCAAGAATCTCCATGCGTACTACCTGAAATGGTTCTAACTTCATTTTCAGCATCATATTGGGAAGGATCAGCCTTCCCAGTCTCAGACTGGGAAGTATCAGAATTTTGTAATGACAGCAGAGTACTTCTGCTCTGTTTAAGTCTTCTGCTAAACAGATTTTGTCCCAGAAGAGATTCTGCGGTACTTGGAAACAGCCGTTTTCGACCGTTAATACGTCGGAGTTTCAAAAGAGTTCCCTCTCTTTGACTTCTGGTATAGATGGGAGATCGTGGCCTCAGACCTTTAACATGACCAACAGAACACTTGGACATGCCTGTATTCTTCTCCCTGCTGCTTCTGCTCCTTACCGTGTTTGCATTAACCGGACAATTTGGTGCACACTCTCCAGCTATCTGGGAGGAGACCAAACTTCTTTTCTGTTTGCATGTTTGACGAATACTAGGCATCCTCTTCCTCTTGATCAAGGCAATTTCACTGTCTCCACGTGACATTTAGGAATTGCATGAAACAGCTTTTTGCATGCTGGGACTATCGTCATGACAAGATAATGGAGAGCATTCTAAAACAGTTTCCTGTACAGCATGCCCTGCTGTCTGTTCTGGATTTCTCAAATGATCAACTTGTGTGGAAACATTACTGTCAGAAGTGGCTGCAGTCTCACTCTGCGGGACAATCGATACAGATCCTTTTGTGCACTTCTGACGTCGCCTTGAGCTGTGGGGAAGCTGAAGACCAACTGTTACAATGTAGCGATTGAAGAACACCACCTGAGAAAGATAAATGACATATTTAGCAATCAGTTTATTCCAAAATATTGCTGTCTTCTGGGATGTGACAGATAGTTACCACTGCTCTGGGTAAGCATGCTGCCTCCATATTTACGGAAATAATCCGATTACGTAGCATTACATCCCAAAAGACAGTGATCCTCAGTCACCACCACGAGAACCTCAAATCTCATACATCTTCCTTGGCATACCCCATGGGTTTCTATCATACACATAAAGAACTTATTCATGCATTTTTACAAAATCAGCATATGAAAACCACAACTAATACAACAGAAGAAATTCTTTTCTTCATTACTTTTATTATTCACACTATATATGAAATACAGCAACAAGCTGCATAACTGAAAAGCTCTGTTCTTGAAAATGTCTCTCTCATTAAATTCCATAACAAAAACCTTATTTTTCCACCGAGTTTCATGTTATTCTTTCTCTAAATTTTCTCTAAGGGTACATATTACCTACAGTAGGCAACCTTACAGCAAGAAAAGTCCCATGTATGGTGATTCTGGTTCCCATCATATGTTGAAAATACACTTTAATAATTTTCTAATAGTGATGTAGTGATCAACATCACTATCTCATCATGATGCACCATCAAAAATGTTTCATGCATTCTAACAGAAAATACTTTTATCCACAGCTGAAAGAAGAATACATTTTAACCCCTCGGATACAAGAGTGGTGCACCTTCCGTGTTCTTTTAGGTGTAATGCTTACATCTGACATTACAGCCTCTTTACAGACATTTTCAATAAGGGCAATACCCTGCACAGGTTAACGAGAGATGGGAACAGCAATCACAATACCAACCCTCCAAATATGTGGCCAAATGCATATTCCACTGCATCACCAACGTATGCATATGTATTGCTTGGATTTTTTAAATAAATAATTATTTCTTAAAAAAAGTTCTTGCATTTTTGTTACATACTTTAAATATTCGTTCCAAAGGTTCATAAGGGAGAATTTATGGTCTGGAATAGAAAAGGAAAGATTGTGCACAGAAAGAAAACACCAGAGACGTGTTGTTCATCAATCCTTATATAAAACACAAAGATAAAGGATAAAATGGCAACAATTTGTATTTCAAACTATGTAGTTGGTTGAGGCACTACGCTACAAGCCAGAAGGTTGTGGGATAGAATCCCAATGAGTTCACTGGATTTTTTTCAGTTACCTAATCCTTCCAGCTGCACTATGGCCCTTGAGTCGACTCAGCCTCTAACAGAAATGAGTACCGGGAATATTCTTGGGGGTAAAGGGTGGCCAGCATGTAGGGCTGACAACCTTACTGCCATCTATGAGCCGATTGTCTAGAAAATGTGGGAACCTCAACATCTCACAACCCTATGGGCCTCCACAGCCTGTTACAGGGATACCCTTACTTACTTACTTACTGTGTGTTATCGTGCATTATAAACACGATACAACATTTTTCATTCCATGCACTGAAAAAGTTACACAAAAGGAAAGAGTAGACAACCTGTCTGATAATGTATGAAATATGTCTAACACAACCTCTTATGATAATTTGTGTACGCCCTGTCAGGACCACTGGACTAAAATTCTCTATATATTTCCCTGCCTCTCCACACATGCTAAATGCTCTACCCATCTCATCCACCTACATTTGAACACTCTAATATCTTGTGAAGAGTACAAATTATGAAGCTCCTCACTATGCAATCTCTCTGGTCCTTCCTCCTTCATATGCCCAAATATTCTCTTCTCTATTGAACTGTTATGTTTGCAATTTCATATAGCTCTTCCACAATTAAAATCAATTCAGTATCTTTGTTACCAACTCATCTTTTGTAGCAAAGCCCCTAAAGAGTATGCAGCCCTAAGGGGTTCGCAAGAATTATGCTTACACAGTGAAACCTGTTCGGATTAATTGGTTCGTGGACTTTGTTCATCATCTGATATTCTAAAGAACACAGTTTATCAGAGAGTGGATCTGTTTCCATTCTCAGATGAGGGGGTGGGAGACACCTACTCTGTTCAGTCAGTTAGAAAGAGCTCATCCCCATCACTGGACAACCTATGTCAGTAAACTACAGTTACATATAGACCTGAGATCAGGATTTGGCAACAGGAGATAACAGGAAAATTTACAACAAAAGTGAGATAATACATGTACAGGCCTGAAACTAAAACAGAAAAGTGGAAATTAAATGTGACAATCCAAATCAATGAACTCCAATGATTAAAAGTGATTTGAAGTTTTTCATGTTGTAGAAACATTTTTACCTACTACTTGCAGAATACACAGAACAAAACTTGAACCCTGGGATTGTAGCTGTAGTTATACTGACAAAGGTTGTCCGGTGATTTGGACCAGCTCTTTCTAATGGACCCAACAAGCAGAAGTCTCCCGCCCCCACACCTGAGGCAAGATACAGATCAAGTTTCTGAAACATTGTGCTCCTTAGAACACCATACAATGGACAAAGCCCGAAAACCCATTAATCCCGCCTGTCATACACCATCGTCATAACTCTTTAGTTTACGTGAGACCTTTGTTGAAGGTTTGTAACGGGAGCAGTAGTTTTGAACACTAAATAGAGAAAAATCTTGTGCGTGTCTACTGACATAGGATCATTGAAACTGAACACAAAATTAGGGAAAACCTTAAATTCAGGTACACTGGTATGAGATTTTACTGTATTAGGTTGGATGTTGCACACTGTCTGAGGTATGTCTCCTGACTTACTCCCTGAAGACTTTGCCTATCAATTACACTACACGAAATGGACAATGCCCAACATAATGCTGACATTATGACATCATGCTATGATAAGGCAGTTTCCCACTGCTTTAGAAGAATATATGGCATTCACATTGGAAGCAAACTTGGGCACTGGTAACTTCTCCAGATCACTGGTGCTTATCTCTGCTATAACTGAGTGGAGGGATATTCATGAAAGTGCCCCAAAGGATACATACCCAGTACTCACAATAAACACAGAAAAACACAATGGGATTACATAAAGATTTATATATTGGGAGTCCTGTTTTTATTTTAAGTGGTTTTATAGCTATGAAACCTTCTCAATGCCTCAATATCTCTAAAACATCAAAACTGTACACAGCCAGATTTTGTCCATTATATCTGGGTCTGTTATAATCAGGGTTTACTGTAATTCGTTATTTTTATCATTATTATCTTCTGTAATTTGATGCTATGTAGTCTGGCAGAAAGTGACCATTGTCTAAAAGGAACCATATGCATATGAAAAAGTAAGGGTTCAGATACAGAAAAATTAGGGAAATAAACCCAGCTGCAAATGGGCCACAGTAAATGGTACAAGTTATCTTTGTGTGTAATTATGTAATTAATTGCACCATACCATGAAGAAATACAGGGAGTGGAGGCACAGCATTCATCACCTCAGTAATACATGGAGGTGTATGGTCAGCTTCATTTCCCAGCTGCCTCACCACTGTGGAAACAGCTCCTGGTATCCCCTGTATAGAACAGATGGGCCTTGGAGCCAGTCTGGATGCTTTTCGAGAACGGAAAAATGTCTTGCATGTCCAGGAAAAGTACCTCAATTCCTTGCTTCCAAGCCTAGTCATTACAGCAACTAAGCTATCCTGGCTCCTACGGAAGGCAGTTATTCCTAAGAAGGAAAGGGAAAAGAGGCAGGAAGAAATGTTTTGCGAAGAGAAAGATATAAGGTTCCTCCAAAACACAGGTACGAGTATCTCTGTACCAGATAATCTGCTGTCACATCCCTGAAGACAGTAATATTCATATTCACTGTGTATTCAATATCTTACATCAGGGGACATCTTATAATTGGGCAAACAAGTTCATCTTAGATTCTGACAAATTCACCACACCTGCAATGTATCGGGACCTGTAACTCTGAACTGTAAGTTGTTATTAAGCACCCTGCTTCTAGACATTACTCGATCAACGGTATGTCGGGATTCTCGCTGTGATGGTATGCCGGTGCTAGCACTGGTACTGTTTTGCTGTCTGTTACTTCTGAAATTAAATTCACAACAATCAGTATTCCATATGTTTCATTGTTGTTGTTTCTTGAGTTACAATGATGTCTTTATTAATTTAATGATGCTGTCTACATCTCACACTAAATGTTGTCAAATGGAAGGACAATTAAATGGTACAAAACAACATGCAAAGGAAACAGTCTTTGTCTAATTTGATGTACCGTCCCAGCATGTCTGGAGGAACTGAGAAAAACCATGAAAAGTCTCTGACAGGATAGCTGATTTCTGAGTTGTGATTTGAATCCTCCCTCATTAGAAGTTTCAGAGCTCCCCACTTGACCATGATGTTCAGTAATGGAGGTTGAGTTTATATAATTCCAAAGGGATCAACTGAAATTATTTACTTCTTTACTGCTCGTAAATCTACAAGCCCCACTCTGAAAATCTCAGCCACTGTGCTGACAAATTCTTCAAAGGCAGATGGAATTAGTCAAAAAGATGTTCCATGTTTCTGGAAGTCTTTGCAACTTGGATTTAAAGTCTCAACTTCCATCATTTGCTGCATTCAAAGATTCAGATTTAGTTGTCATTTAAAGACTAAAACTGCCTCTTCTAAGCTAATTTCTAAACACAGAACCTGTGATCAAACAAATCAAACATGTTGATACTTATGTATGGTAGCCCACATAACTTCAAAAATTTACATCAGTGACTGCATAACTAATATCTATTTTACTTACCACAAGTCCATAACTGTCAGTCTGACATGCTGACACACACTGCAATGCCTTCTGAAATTATTAATTTGTGGAATATGCCAAAAACTGAAGGGGTGTTTCTTAAATAAGTGCAATTGAACCAATCAAATCCAAATGTGAGAATGAGCATTTGATTCAGCTGTGTGTCAGCAATCAGACCACATCTGTGGTCTAGTGGTCAGAGTTACTGGTTACAGATTCAGAGGTCTGGGTTCGATTCCAGATGCTACCAGATTTTCTGAGAAGTGGGTCTGGAACAGGGTCCACTCAGCCTCGCAAGGATAACTGAGGGGCTATTTCAAGGAAATAGCGGCTCTGGTCTAGAAAACTCACGATTAATGGCTGTGGGGATCTGTTGCCCTGACGTGACACCCTCTGTCCTTCGCCGACAAGCAGCGGTGGTTCGGTCGGTATAGTTTGCTTGTGGACTACAGGCCACAGAGTTTTTGTTTTTATGTCAGCAATCAAGTTTTCTAACAGTGCACCACAACAGCTTGAAGAAAGAAGGCAAATATGCATGCTGGCATCTGGTCTGAAAACAGTCCCTCTGCCCTTCATTACAACACAATCACGAACATGCACTAACATGATGGAAGATATAAGGTTGAGTCATGTGAGAATAAGTAAGTACAAACTAATTAACCAAGTCCATGCAGCAGAATCCTTCTTGAGACACTAACAGTTTCTCAGCCAGTCAAGATACTCCCAGAACTTAAAGGAACCAGCAGGTTCACTGCTGTTCACAAGAACCTGCCACTGGTTTCTTTCCTGAGCAAAATGAATCCAACCCATAACCTCCCAAGTTGATAAGTATCAACCATCATAAAACAAGGAAAGGGTTCAACCTGTAACTGAGTGCCACATTTCTCAGGACAAATGAACTGAAAACTATTTTTTTAATTTAATAAAATAGTTTGCAATCCACCTTTCCTGTGAAATATGGCACTCAATGGCAGGCTGAATCTGCTTCCTATTTTGAGATTACTGACAATAAGAAAAAGAGGTTTACAATAACCTCACCATTTCCATATGTTGACCAGTCCACCAAGCTGTAGACGTTTTGCACTACAGGAACATATCAAATCATTCTCACCTGGCTCTGTAAGGTCGATTATGTAGACTCCTTGAGGATGGGACTGCTGCACTGCAGTATGCTGTTCCAGCTGCTGGATGCTGTATGCTGGAATTGCAGACTGGGTTCTGGGCCTGCCTGCTGTTGGCAAGTCCTGACGCAGTTCCAACGAGCGGCTGTTGGGATGGGAAGAAACACACTGTAGAGAGGAGAAAAGAGAAGACAACCCTGTGTAGTCACATCATATCTTCTCTCTCATTACAGGGCAGATTAAAAAAGAAAAATTACTTGCTTCTTATTGAATAACAAACACATGACACTTTGGCAAGAAATCTGGGTTGATAAACAGTGCAAGACACTGCATACTCACAAATTTACAGAAGCATTGGAGGTTAAAACAAGACAACACAGAAACAAAAATTAAATTTTGATAAAAGTTGGAATTCAGAAGTTGTTAACAGAGTTTGAAAAGAAACAAAATGGTCTGAATATGTCGAAATAATGAAGAGGACAAGGACACTGAGAAGAGAATTGAAATTCAAATTTAAAGGACAGAGACTGATGTGGCAACCCATAACAAGAAGGTATTGGAAGATATCAAGAAAAGATGAAAGAGCTGGTGAGAGATCAAAAAGGAAAGATTGTGGGAAGAAAGAAGAGACTGGAGACTTCTCATTCATCGATATGTACAAAACTAAAATGATGCAAGAATACACAAATGGGGGGGGGACATACTCATTTATGACATCACATCCTCTCCACAGCAAGCTGATACTCAATGCCCATTTGATACACTCTGTCAAATCCTCTTACACAAATTAAAGAACAATCCGATAAGAGCTATTACACACTGGTAAGCACCAAGCCTTGGACTTGTACTCAGGATAGTTCCAGAACATTCTAAAAGTGAAAACTGATATCTTTACTTCTTCAAACATGTCCTGTATTAACATTCCCCAGCTTTGTAGAACATTTCCAACCCCAGAAGACTGAAGAAAAAAAGCAATTCCATGTACTTCACCCTCCAAAGCCTTTGAAACAAACCCATGGGCATTTGGATGGAAAATTCAGGTATTATGTTAAATTCATTCATTGTCAAATAATCTGTCAAGATGACAGGTCCACAGTCTCTTCCAAAACAGTTCCTCCACTTAATGCAATCTAGAGCTTTCTCCTTCAAATGAGAATATCCTCATCTGTCCCCAAGGTCATCCAGCATCTTCTTACGTCTTCTTCGTCTTCTGGTCACTTCTATCCGCCCTTCTATCTTTCCTTCAATAACTTCCCTTTATGTTAAATATGAAGGTCAAAAATATCTGAATTACAGAACAAATGGAAGAACACTGCAGATGTTTTCAAAGAGTTATACATTAATTTTTATGCCAACAACTTTTCTATCATGAGTGATAAGGCATTTTTCCTAAACCATTTATTGTTAAGTTTCAGTTTTTCTACTACAGTCTCCTAAATCAGGACATGCTTTTGAACAGAATGAACTGAGGCACAGACATGAAACGTGCACTGCACTGGCGGGTAATGGAAGGTTCTTGCCCATAGGTCTGTTCTCTCAGAAGTGTACAGTGCTTATGATGGTTGGGAAGTTGAATGACATTTCAAAAGACACGAGCACACTGAGTGTGTTCCATTTTAATAAGGCAAAAAGAATCACCTACAATAAGATGCTAATCTGGCTGGAGCACGTGTCCTCTAGCAGCTAGTGGTGCTCTACCATGTTTTCATACAAATGTGAGGGACTACTGGATTGTTTCACATTGCCTGATCTGATTGATCAACATTCATTTTTTCAATGCCCCTGTATATTACAAGAGATATTTGAGACAATGGAGTGTATTATTCAGACTATACTCTTCTGTGTAGAATGTTAACACATTTCAGAGGAAACTGCTGCCTCTATCTTCAGGGTTGAAGACTAAGGTAGTAGGTTCCTCTGAGACAATGGTAATGTTCTAACAGATTAAAAGGCATTACATCACAGATATCAGCAATCTCCATAGTCACCACGATGAGAACCTCACACACCATATATCCACATTTCAATGAATGTCCTTCAGAATACACAGAAACTCACCTCAGCATCTGTGTCTTGCACTACAGATGAAACTTGGCTGGTGTATGGCTGTCGCTTACTGCCACCCTCAATCAGGTAGGACTCCAGCATGCTCCCTCCTGCAGTGGCTAGTCCCGAAGCAGAAGCAGAACCATAAGACTGACTGCTATAACAGCCAGCTGAAGAGGAACTTAAGGGCTTATTAGAACGTTTGTCAACTGAAGAACCAGAGAAGTTGGTCCCTGATCTACTGACATGTCCTGTGTTCGAAGTAGGAAGCTGCGACACTGCAGACACAGAATGTGTCTGTGTGACTTGCTGTATTCCAGCTCGCTGCACATTACTTAAGTGGTCAGCTACAGCCACATTCAAACCACCCACCACACAGATATTTTGTCCATCACTAGCAGCTGGAATGCTTGTTACTTTGACCACCGGAATAGCTACGCCATCAGAAGACAAAACCATACCGCTGTTATCTTGTGTGGACCTCTTGCTTGGAGGTTCATTTTCATCAAGAATCTCTACAACATCATCATCATCACTGATCTCTATCACTGCAAATGGGGAAGGAGGAGACTCAGGATCGCATGTCACAGACTGACTGTCAGGTGTTTCCAGATTTTGGGATGAGGAAGGGAGAGGATCTGATGATGAAGCAATTGCTCTGTCATTACGGCACCTTGACCTCCGTGGCCCTCCGAAACCTCTATAATACCGCCGTTTTCGTTTGGGAGCAGGCTGGTTGAAAGAGCTAGGTGACGGGGCAGTTTCTTCTTCACTGTCTGTATCGTCCTGCCTTTGCGCCTGCTCAAGCATTGTATTACATTCATCACATACCCACTCAGGATTCACCCACTTTAAGAGACCACAACCAATGTGAATTCCCTGTGAGCCACAATACTTACAAAGTACCAGCTCCCAGCGGGTGCCAGTCATTTCATGAACACGGCCCTTCGGGCAAAGACACTGTTTGGCATCACAGCGATTATGCCGATGCAGAAGTTCTTGGAAAGCGTTTGGAACCAATTCCCATGAAGCATCTTGTTCTGGAATATAAATACCAAAGTCTAACATTGCTTTCTGGAATGTAGACTTGTTGTTACAGAGAGGGCATTTAAAAAAGTAGCCAGCACTTATTGCTAGCTTCTGCACACAGTCTCTGTGGAACCAGGCATTGATGCGACAGCATGGAGCCCACAGAGTTGATGGGCAGCTTGTGGGTTGGATGCTGTCATAGCATATGGCACAAGTAGCCTCTCTGCTCTTCACTTCCATCAAAACCCGAGGGTCAATCTTCTGGACTGGCCTGTGCACAGAACAGAATGACCTGGGAGGGGAAAACACAGTAATCAGCAAAAATACATATATCACAGGAGAACTAACTTGTACTGAACTCATAACTAAGGTGTGTAAAAAAGATTAATTACCAGCAGCCTGGTAACAGAATCAGTAGAGAACTGCCCACCTCACAATTGCTTTGAACAGATGGATTTGTATAAGAAGCCACTTTTTCTTGGCTAATTTTAATCTAATTTCCCATGTATTTGTACTTGCACTTTCCTGGGCTGTTTGGCTGCATTTTGTCAAAACTGAATAATCAAATATTACATGTGTGCAATTTTTTTAAAGTTGTTATGTGCAGGGTTAGACTGAGTTCCTTAGTAGTGCAACCTCACACAGACCTCTTATACAAGTTCCTAATGACAGAGAAACATGAAGCACTGCAGGAATAGATAAATGGCAAATGAAAGCCAAAGTGCTTGGCAGAAAACCTGTCCCAGTGCCATTCTGTCCACAAATCTCACATCAACGCTCCAAGGATCGAACACAGGAGTTTCCAGCGAGAAGCTGGTGTCAAGCTGGAAGACTTATGGTACGGTCCTATGCAAGAATGATGAGTCAGCTCCATTTTCCAATCACTGATACTCCAAGAGGCCATTTAAAAGCTGGCTAGGCAAAGTCAAGAAACATTCTGAGTGCGTGCCTTAAGGTTAATGACAAAAACATGTTACCAGAAACGTATTTAATTTAATTTGGATTTGGATCATAAGACAGAAGTAAACCACACATTAAATCATAATAATGAATTAACTAGGATAGGTCAAATTTTTAGTTTACTGAATTAATTGTCTGTACCATGTGAGTTACCTGAAGCAATAAGGCTTCAGACTTATACCACTGGGGAGCGAAATTCAAATTTCAGCCAGGCCACATCTATCCCAACAGATTTTTATGGGTTTTCCCAGGCCCTCCAGACAACTACCAGGACAATACCTCAAATGATGTTACAAACGCTTCCTTCCACCAACATCTTTTCTTATTCATCATCTACTGCTCATCCTATCAGTAAATGATATTCTGTTTCATGTACTGTGTTATTAAATAAACCATAAACAAATAAAATTTATCATTTGTGCAGGATTTGATTACTTGAACTGTCCAAAGAATTGATGCAAGGATCCTGACCGGCGCCCACATGGCAAGTGAAACACCTTCTTACACCGAGACGCACAACAGCCCAATGTTGCCCCTGACCTCTTGCAATACCAGCAGGTCTGAAACATGAATGCAATGCACCTTGCTTATAGTGAGTGGGGCAAGAGTAACTCATGACCTGTATAAAACAGACAGGCCTACTGGTGAATTCCTGTTGAGCAATCAGCGATATGAAGAAACAGTGCTCAACATGTCACACATTATCAGTCCCCAACATCAAGAGCTGATGTAATGACTGATGCAACCACAAGCATAAGTATTCAGAAAGTATGCTCTCAGAGGCCAGTGTGCTGCCCTGGCATGGGCTGTGGGGAAGCAACAGACAAAGGCAGTCAGTGGCGACCAAGTCACCCCAACCACCTCCTAACAGTAGTCTAGAGAGGCAGCAGGAAGGCAAGTGAGGCTGATTATAAGTTGTTATGCTTTAGGTCAAGTTGCCAGAAGCCTGTAGGGCATAAACTTTTAACTTACAAATGCTGGATATACCTAACAGCAAAATGCTAAATTTATCAGTACAGTGCTCTCTTTTGGAGTGCTGATAGTTTGATCCTTAGCTTTGGTTGAAACCAAAACAAACCCACTAAAGGTCAAGTCGGTGGTTCATTCATTAGTTCTGAACAATGAAATCGTCTATGAGGGTACACCTTTTGATATTATTTACGTTTAGATATGACTGTTTATGACCAGTCAGCCAAATAGAGCAAAGCTTTGTTTTGAGAACTGAGAAGTAAATATTTACCTGTGCATGCAGATTAGTGCTACTAGAGCTTGCAAGGAAGTGTGAGTTTTCAAGGGTTGGTTTTCAGTAGCAAATTATCGGTTAGGAAGTCAGTGCCCTAGTGTCAATTATTTATTTATAAAACATTTTTATTTTGTGTCTGAGTAGAGGTATAAACCTACTGAGCCAGTATTACTTTGTGAGTAAAAGGTATCTTTGTCACTGTGACTTTTGGTATTAGTGTCGGACTGCCCTTCTTTCGATTATATAATTATACTTCATCACTAATTAGTATTACTAACAAGTGACAGCGTTGCACTGTCAATGAACATAATTTATTCAATTTAGCTGGAAACCCCCTCCCCCAAGATGGAACCTCAAAAACGTGCCCAATATTCAATGTCTTGATGCAGAAGAAATATGGAGGAAATACTGACAATAGAGGAATCTGACGAAGAGTTAGAAGAACTCAATGAGATCACTGAACCTTGTGAAAATCATCATCATCATCAGATACTGAGGCAGAGGAAGTGGAAATTAGGTTTTGTGCTAGAAGACCCGGGGATTCGCCAAAGGCACTCGATTTCACCAGTCCTCTGAGTGGAATCAACAGATCAGCTGCTCCAAATATAAATGCACAGTCCTCACCATTTTCCATTTTCACTCTGTTTTTCCAGCAAATATTCCAAATCTTGTTACAAGAAACCAATAGATATTTCCATCAATTTATGGCCTGCAAAGATGCTCCAGGCCCTTCTGTTCAAACATCTGACATTACAATTCAAGAGTTATATAATTTTTGGCAGTAATAATTCAAATGGTCCATAATTAACAGACAGCCTCAAAGATTATTGGCCAAGAGATGAGCAATACTACACTCCATTCATAACACTATGGTACGAGACTGTTTCTTCCACATTTCGAGATTCCTGCATTTCAAAAATAATGTAGCTCCTCCAAATTATGATGACCTGGTTTATGATAGGCTTTTGAAAATCAGAGAAAATTTTTACAGCCTCAACAATAAATTTTGTGAACTTTACAATCCATCAGAACATCTTTTTGTTGATGAAGACACAGTGCTGTTCAAGTGAAGAGTGATTTTTTGTCATTATATTCCAAAGAAACATAAAAGATTTGGTATAAAAATTTATGACCTTTGTGATTTTCTTGGCTATACTTATGACATGATGGTTTATTTAGGGAAACAAAGGCAAACTTGTGACAGAAGAAATTACATTGACATATGGCATTGTTCTCCAGCTAATTCGATGAGTAGAAGGCTTGGGACACAATATTTACATGGACAATTATTTCAGCTCTCCTGCATTTGATATCTACTAGAGAGAAAAATAAATTTATGTGGCACCATTTGCAATGATAGGCATGGAATGCCACAAGAAATATGGCCCAAGTAATGAAACTGAAAAAAGTGGATAATGGTACAAGAGTCAAGGGCAGTGCTGTCCAACGTTCTTACGTACTCGGGCACAATTCACTGATGCCTACGGAGGTGCGGGCGCCACCACACTACTACTACTACTAATAATAATAATAAAATTTTTCGAAAATATTTAACAGTACTCAGACGTTCAAAAGTGTCTCCTGTCTTACAATTTGAATTAATATTGAAAATCGGCTCAATTATATGTGCTTATAGAGGGCGCCAGAAAAATATACCACAGGCGCCACGTTGGACAGGGCTGGTCAAGGGGCATCTAAGTGTTGTTCATCAGAAAGACAAGCATGATGTGTATGTTCTGATGAATATGCACTCTCCTCCATGTGCATGGCAACTTCCAAGATGAATCTGGCCATGCTGTCAAACCCCATGTAATTGAAGACTACAGTACACACATGGGCTTTGTTGATAAATCTAACAAGATGGTAAATAGTTATAGACTTTCCTGGAGGACATGGAAATGGACAAATAAATTGTTTTTTCCACCTTCTAGACATGACTATTGTGAATGCCTATTTAATGCACAAGTCATGTGGTGGAAAAATGATACGTAAAAAATTCTGCGAACTCCTAGTGCGAGATTTGATCGTACAATCATACGAGGTGAATATCACGGTCAGTGGCATTCCTGAAGGGAGGCCATGTTCATCTGGGGCCCAAGTGAGTCAACTAGAGGTAAAACATTTGCAACACTGGTCATCCAAAGGGAAACAAAGACACTGTCATGGGTGTTCACTAAATAAGAAAACTGGGAGCACCCTCTTCTATTGTAAAAAGTGTGATGTTGGCCTGTGTGTTGTGCACTGCTTCGAGAAGTGGCATACATGCGTTAGAGTGTGACCACTGAATGGAGTTATCATAAACTGTAAAGTGGTGCAGTTCATACTTGCATACAGTCTGAACAAAAGTTTATTGTGTATAGTGTCATTATTTTTTATAAAATCAACATGTCTCAAGTTTCAAGAAATAACTACAGGTAAGTCATTTGGAATTTCATAATATTGTAACTTGTTGGGTTACTGTAGACGCCGTTCGGATTGTTAATTGGTTTATTTAACAACCTACAAATCTCGGCTACAATTAATTATGACAATGTTGCGGGGTTTCACAATTTATAACCCTATTCGCAAATCAAATCACTCTATTGTCAGTATACACGTTTTTATAACGTGGGAGGTATACAAGTGCAACTGTATCACACACTCCCAATTATTACTCGGTTATCACGAACTATCACTGATTCTCGCACATGCGTGTGTAACTCGTAACTTGCGAACTGAGAACTGTTGTCGGCGGCTGTGTAGTTCCCTTATAAACCCTCAGCAGGGCAACGAGAAAACAACCATGTAGTAGGCATCACTGTTGCTACTGTCGTCTATTGCAACCACTGTTTATCCGCACTGCACAGCGACCAGTGTGCTGGGACTCAGCTCACTTCGGCTCCGCTCGGCACGTCACCGCTAGCGGGGGGGGGGGTTGACCTGCCTATTACCGTTGCACAACACGTCACACTGCTCCCTCCTTAAGGCTGTTCGTCCCGAATAGCCTAACGGTGCACACCCGTTCCTTTTCTTCAAAGGATGGCTTTCTGCATCTCCTGTTTTGGCTACTCCTTGCAGCGACTATTATCTGGCCGTTACAACCCAGCTCGTATCGAGCGGTTTCCTTTCAGCAAGCCTAGAAGGTCCAGTTGTATTCCATTCATCCATCGCTTTCTCCCATGGCACATTCACTCTCTCTGGGTAGGCCGGTTCTTCTATTTTACCGGCTCCTCTTCTGTGCTCTGCTTCTTTTTTCATTTTGGAGGGGGTTAACACCTTCACAGTGTCCAGTTCTTGAACATTACTTTCTTCCGAAGTTCCTTATGTCAACGTAACAGCACTTGACGCGTTGTTTGCACTTGCTGACTTCGTCATTCCTCCTGGTCTTCCAGCCGCTTGCTGGAACGAGACCATGGTGCCAAGTCCTTCCTCCGGCATCCGAAGGTTCCTTGAGGAGTTTCCTTCTTGAAGTCATTTCTCCATCATGCCACTGTTGCGCGGTGGGATATCTTCCTACAGGTGGCAGCCAACTTCATCCGGGAATCATAATTTCCATGGGTCCGAGATTTATTGCAGATGTTCCTCCGACGCCATGCCACTGCTGCACAGCGGGACACCTTCCTGTGGACGATGGCCAATTTATTCTGGGGTCCGCAATTTTCCCGTGTCGGATTCTTCATATTTCGTCGTTTTCGGTCCCTACGCCTTTTCTTCTTTGGTTCTCCGACCAGCATTATCTCTCGTTGTTCTGCTGCCTCAGGTTTCATGTTCACTGAGGCCGGCTCCTCTTCTTCTGGATATGCTCCATTTCTCGGCAGGCCATCGTCACTCCGACCGGTATTACAATGGGGACCTCTTCTTGTTGTGCCGCCACAGGTTTCATGTCCACTGAGGCCGGCTTTTCTTCTTCTATATGTGCCTCCATCTCTTGGTAGGCTATCGTCTCGTTGTTGTTGGCATTTACCCTTTTGTCTTTCATGGTGGCCATTTCTTCTTGCCATGCTTTCGTTTCTGCATCCAACTTTTCTCCCCAGGCGTCCATCACTTTTCGCCAGGCTTTCGAGTTGGCATCTGCTTTCACTTGGTTTGACCTCATGTTGGCGTCCATTCTTGCCAGCATGTCGATTATTTGCTGCATATCTTGTTTCTCCATTTTCTTGTAGGAAGTACTCGATTCACAATAATTATTGTGTGGTGTGTTTAAGTTCGTAATCCCACTTCTGAAACACCAGTTGTCATGTGTTGTGTGTATAACATGACAAATAACTTCACGCCTTAGTGGATATAGCGAATTTTATTCCACACTCGCTCTTACAATCACACAATTTACAGACTCACAATTACTGCTATCTGCAGTATTACAAATACTACTCTGCAAATGCCAGAATACAACTGACTGCTTGCTGGCTAACTCGTTACTCTCCGCTGGCTAGATTGAAAACTGTCTTGAATAGTCTTCACTGCTCCTTATTTAGCCCCGTTCCGGACAACACAGAAAACAGCCATGTAATAGCTACCACTGTTATTACCGTCATCTCTCGCAACCACTGCTGTCTGCCGCCATGGTAGCCGATAGCCTAGCAACACTGTTGGGAGTTGTTTACCGCTACGCAGTAACTGCAGCGTCACGTGTTACGTCACCGCTGTTGACTCGCGTTGCGTAGCGACCAGTATGCTGGGACTTGGCTAACTTCGGCGCCGCTAGGCATGTCACGGCTGGCGGAGGGTGGGGCGTCATCCATAGCGCAACACGTCACAATATATACAATAAAGATGATATTTTGCATTTCATGACATAATAATCACAGAATATTTTCATTTGAAAGATGTGTTCTTTTGTGTATGTGTAGAATATTTTATTGTCTTTTGGGCTGTTTTTAGTTTGTATTTCTATATTACACAGAACGGAAAGTGTGTATTCTTTCCTGAAAGTCTGCAATTTTAAAGACTTGGGGTCATTTAAATTCTGGCTGCAGTAGGTTCCGAACAATTTAAAAGTCTGTACTTTAATGGGCAAGGAGAGAGTATGTAGCAAACAAAGCCCTTGCAATACAAGGCAACCTCCCATTCAATCTAGTCTTCCCCTCACATTTGGGGAGGAATTACAGTTCCCNATTTTTAGGTCCCTTTGATGACGCTATAACCAAGTTCTACTGTAACTGTTTGGAAGTTCTACTGTACTGTCCCCCAAAGCTTTTTAACAATATCTACTGCCATGAAGTAACAGACATCTCCCAAGGGCTCTAACGACTGTTTTCTTGAGAGTGCAACACTACTGTGAGAAGCTCCAACCCACACATTTTACTTACATTCTGCACACCTCATTCAGAGTTCACTTACCAGACGCCTCCCTCTCCTGTACTCTTTCAAAATGTCCTCTCTCAGAAAACCCAGGATTCCATCATTGTCTCCGCCATTTTGCTCCATGTTTGAGGACAAAAGCTGAAAACCAAACATTTACTCAGTTTTACTGTCAATTACTGAAATACTGTTGAAAATTCTACAATTTCCATCTCCAGCCATGGTCTCAATATAGCCCATGAGAGACACTACGAAATCACAATATCACAGAGAATGAACACATAAACCTGAACAACTTGTGCAAAGACAGTCAAAAGGCATGTATTTTCATTGGTTGCATTCTGTTGTGTGTTTCAGGAATTATGTCAACCGTCAACACAGCAAATATATTCACCTTTAATATCTGAGCTTTATTGCTGCTACACGTTTCGGTCATACAAGACCATCATCAGGCAGTTACACACAGGAACATGTCCAGCCATTGGGATACCGATATGGATCCCTATGAGTGCAATGCGTCATATTATATATTAACATAAATCTTTTGCCTCAAGTTGGTGTATTACATTAGCAAATACATAAATAAGATAAATGACAAATAAAGGCATACCATATATCAAGATTTATAATGTGCTGAATATATTATTAAAACAATATTAAATTTTTAAGTGTTTAAAAAAATATGTTAAAGGATGTAGATTCTACATCGAACCACTGCACAGCGCAGAACACACAGAAAGTATATACGCCCAGACAAGAAACACATTCATTCATTCATCAGTAATCTGTCAGACAACAGGTCCACAGTCTCTTTCAAAACAGTTTCTCCACTTAATGCGATCTAGAGCTTTCTCCTTCAAATGAGAATATCCTCTTCTGTCCCCAAGGTCACGATAATTCGAGCTGGAAAAAGAAACACATATGCCATATTGTATGATTATATAATCATACATATTGTGGGAACAGCATACCAATATACCACACACTAACAACTCATACATTATAGAAACTTGTCTTTGGGCTCCACAACTGGGCTTACTATGTAGAAAGCTTCCACAACAAAGACCTACAGACAACATACATGGTAAATTTTCTACACTGTAGCAGTGAAACCTTAAATATTTAAGTTGGCATACACATTCTTAACCTACCATACAAAAATCCTTTAATATATGTTTTGAACACTTTTAATATTTTCTTAATAATATATTCAACATATTATATATCTTGATATACGGTATACCTTTATACAGTAGAACTTGGTTATAATGTCATCAAAGGGACCTAAAAATTGTGTCGTTATAAACGAATGTCGTTGTAACCAAAATGGGCACTTCCACAGTAGCCTTATGTTAGTCACGTAAAAATCTACCAAAACCGAGTTAAAATGTTGCATTTTTTTTAGTGAATTACGTAGTTAAGTACAGACTAACATAACATTAACGTGGAATTGCCCAAATGTGTAATATCAAAGACATATTACAGCGCTTTTCACTGACAATACACACAACACTAATACTGTATATTAAAGGTAGGCCTACTCACCAAATTACAGTAGATTACATCAATTGTTGTGCCTTACTGTACCTAGATACGAGTACAGTAATCAGTTATCTTCATCTGTTTCCTGTTACTTGCCCAATACACACTTTCTAAATTACGTTCAATGTCCATATCAGAGAAATTCAGGAATGAAAATGACGTTACATACGAGGTTGATGCATTTGTGCATGTCATACTAAGCAAGGTATAAAAACAGTTGCTTTATGAGGAATTAGTTCGTACCATTGAATATTTGACGCAATAGACAAGGTGTCGCAGAAACCGATGTTGCTATAACCAAGTTTTACTCTATTTATCTTCTATCTTATTTATGTATTTGCTACTTTAATTATACACCAACTTGAGGCAAAAGATTTATGTTAGTATATAATACAATGCATTGCACCAATAGGGATCCATATCAGTATTCCAATGACTGTATGTATTTTTAATTGTTTCTTGCATCCTGTTGTGTATTTAATCAATATTAGAGTCAATTTTACCGACCACACAACATATTTTTATTATTATTACACTACATGTTTCGACCTCAAGAGGTCATCCTCAGGTGTACGAACACAGCTGTATAATTACATGCAATCACATTCATCTTCTCACTTATTCAATCCTGAATAAGATACAGGATCGAATAAGTGAGAAGACGAATGTGATTGCGTGTAATTATACAGCTGTGTTCGTACACCTGAGGATGACCTCTTGAGGTCGAAACATGTAGTGTAATAATAATAAAAATATGTTGTGTGGTCGGTAAAATTGACTCTAATATTGGCTGTATGTATTCCTGTGTATAACTGCCTGATGATGGGCTTGTATAACCAAAACATGTAGCAGGAATAAAGATGCAATATTAAAACCGAGTATATTTGTTGTGTTGATGGTTGACATAATTCCTATTTATACAGAAGTCATGTATTCTTAAAAAGTCAACAATATAATGTCAACTGTCACACTGCCGATTATTACTGCCATCCTCTGTGCTTACATTTTTCTCAAGTGGGCTGTTTAACAATAATTTATATATCAAGACTGTATAGCATCAGATGGTAGGATGATGAGTTATGAACTGGAAAGGATCTGCAATAAAGCAGTCATGGCCTCACTGAAATACTATTCCTGGCATCTGCCTAGAGGGGCTAAGAAAACCATAAAACCTTAGTCAAAGACAGCAGATGTCCTGGACAAAACTTCAAATGAGCTCCTTCCAAATTCAGACCAACTTGTTAGGTTTCATTTTAAGACAGACTAGTCTTGTATTTGGTTTCCATGGAAATGATGCAACAATAAACTCTAATACCAATTATATATAAAGCACAAGATGTTCTCATGGCACTCCATCACAATGTACTGAAGGAACAAACTTTATTCCTGTTTCTGTCCATACTGATGTAAGCTAAACAAAAACTCAGTATTCAGCATATATGGGGGGCATGGTTTGCTGGTTACATGAGAAGAACTCATACAGAAACCCAATAAAAAATCAAAACAATATGTGTGCATTTAGTACTAGCGCAGGAGTCTTCCTTGGTGACACAGTGGATGGCCGGATGAAAGACTTCACGTGTACTGTAACACAACCATAAATCCATCTAGCCTCTACCATAATTAAACCTGTATAAGGGAGGCCAATAGGTGCACCACTACTAGCAGCAAGGGTGAACAGATGCACATAACAAATTTGTTTCTGAATAACTTCATAAAAACAGTCAACTTTTTAATGAGTTTCCCAATTGGATGGAAATTCCAGATGCTTAGATACTGGATTATCTGGAATTTACTGTATATAGCCCTCCAGGTTGCGGGAGTCTCTAATCTGAAACAGTAAAATATGACTGTCCTGAGGGACTCAAACCCAAGAATAACTGTGCCGGTGAGGGACAGCAGCAATTGTAAAGTCAGATCCACCCATTCACTGGAGAGGGCACCCCAAATCAACAAAACCCACAACAGTCTGACGTTCTTGGGCCACAGATAGTCTTCACACCATGACATCCTAGCCAACTGCCCATCAATCATAATATAATTCTGACTTGAAGCCAGTCATCTGGAGCTGCACTGCTAGCAGCTCCTACATAGCAATCACTACTGAACAAGCAGAAGACTGTATATATGCTGTAGTTTTAATGATCTACAGAGCGTAAATCAGTGAGACTGTTAGTTATTTGTAGTTACGAGCTACAAGCCTTCAATAAATCCAATTATCAATCCGAACCCCGTGACCTCTCACTAACACACATATTTTCATCCTTTCTTTAAAGTCAAAAAATGGCAGGCTTCCCTTCCAATTCTTGCACAGGAATATTCTTGACATAGCAGATCTGACGAGTCAAGTATATTGGACATACCGTAACATAATCACAAATTCAACAAACCTCTATTATAATTGCGTTATCACTATTAACAGAAGGGCACCTATGTGTAGGAATATGACAGGCAGTGTTTCCAGTGGAGAATCGGGAAACTACTGCATGGCAGATCAACAAATGTGCATGGCAACTTTGTTTTTGAAATAAACTTAAAAATGGTAAATTATCTTTGAAATTGTTGATGGCTGCATGAGAATTCTGGATGCTTGGATACCAGATAATCAGTAGTTTACTACTGGTTGAAAACAGTCTCTAATAACTTTCTAATGATGATGTAGCAGTGCGCCACTAACCGAAGAACACGTTCTCTCATCCCATTAGTAGCTGGAAGGACTGCCACGAACTTTGAAAATGGTGGTTGAAGGGGAGATGTGATAGGATCAGTCGCCAACAATGATACAGAATATGGTTCAACAATAGGTGCACCTTGGAACGGATGTGAGATCAAACATGGTCACTATCCACCACACTACATGGTGTCACATTCCAGAAAACTGCACTGTAACACTTCAAATATATGCATATTCTGATATTATTACTAAAATCCAGATACATTTCAAGAGTGGTTCAAATTTTCTGAACCACTACAGCACAGCCCTACACCATGGAAAGGATCTATTCTTGAAAATGTGTCCATATCATGAAGTTACATAATGCAAATCCTATATTCCATTGACTCCAAGGTTATAAGAAATTCTCTCCTACAGAAATGTTTCTGAACCAGAGCTGTAATAAAAATAAGACTGTTAAGAAGGATTTCTGGTTACAAAAAGTTACATCTGTTTTTATATTATACTGTACAGTCCATTGAAAGTCAACCAACATTTTGGAGGAACATGTCACCTCCATCTTCATGGTCAAAGAATTCATGCTGGTTTCTTGCTTGGCTTATTCTTCAGCCCTGATGATGGAGTCAACATGTTCCTACAAAACAATTCACAGCATTATATCCCAGGAGACAAACTCTTCAACATTGTTACCCATCACAGATAGCAGAAAGTACATGAAAATAATCTTAAAGGAAAATAAAACAGATATCCTCTTTCCAGACATTTTAATTAAGTATAACACAATGTACAGTCTAAATGAAAGGGGTCACCAGTCACACTACTCCTCACATCAGTTTTGGTAAGCTCTCCCTGAGGTAACAGCAGGGAGATGGGTGGTGACTGCTAGGATGCTGTGGGCAACCATTACACTGCTCTATGGTAAAAACAAAACATTCTCTGGTGACATGCAGTAGTCTGTAATGAATGGAGTGAAAACATGAATGCCACAATCAATTTCTAACATAAGGTGGCCATCTGTCAGGCCAAACCTGGTTCCTTTCGACAGCAGAGCTCAGGAAAACCCATTACAATAGGGCCTATCATCCTCCACTGTCACTGACATTTCTGAATTTAACAAATAATTTCTTACAAGAAAATATTTAGCTGTATTTGAGTTTGTATTTAGGGAAAAATATTTATTTAAAATGTGACTTTTACAATTTCCATGGGAAAAATTGTCACCTGAATGCCTGTAGAATGGGTGAAGGGGAGGACATATTTATCTTATTGGGATTGTTTTTCATCAGCCATTTCATTATAGTCATTATTCTGCAAACAAAATAGAAATAAACGTACAAGACAATAGTAATGTGTCACTATGTCATTGTCCAGATTGTAAATCTTCCCATATAACAGCTCATTTTCCTCATCCAGGTTACAGAATATGCAAATTTTCCTCCGCTCCATTTTAGCTGATTGCCACTGGACTTCAAAGTATCAGAATGTCGATAAATTCTGGAAAAGATCACAAATGACAACAAGATGAAAACCCTTCAGGCTACTGTATGATAACATCAAGGAAGTTGGCTCAAGGCATAACACTTCAGACTTTAATTCAAAATGTGACCAGTTCAAATCTCAGCTGGTCATCAATCATCCTAACTCATAACTGTCAAAATTTTCCTCTGCTCCTCAAAGTGAATGCAGAACTGTATTTCATTTTAGGCTATAACGGTTTCATCTTTTTCAATTTTTTATTAAAAACCTTACCATTTCATGACATATCCCGGCTACTAATGCTAAATAGGTAAAGGTAAGTTGCTCCTGTGCTTAACTAATTATGTACTATGCCATGAATTCCTTGAATTCAGCACTAGCTGCAGGCGAGTGGTCAGCTTCATGCCCCGGCTGCTTTATGACTGGTACCCAATGGATAGGAGGTTCGATGGACACCAGAGCCCAAGAGAAAATCATTGACCCTACTGAGACTGGAACTCCAACCCCTTGGTAGTCCAGCCCATAGCCAGTCACTATACCGACTACACTATCCCAGCTCCGTAACATTGTTGGACACTAATTAAACAAACAAATACTGACTTTCAACTCTACGTTCTATTTGGACAGTACCTGGCTCAAACTCAAGATTTTACCGGTTTAGGTAACTGCCTCCCAGAAAATGTTTTGGCAGTATCTAAAATTAGACGATGATAGCTTTCTTCTGAACCCTTTGCAATTCATTATTCATTGTCCTCCCTACCATTCAGCACTATATAATGTGACTCTAAAAGCATCACTACATAAATCATTAATAAATACGTAATCCTTAACACTTCATATTGATATACAAGTGGCCGTGGAGGAGCATGCATTTATGCAAAAAGAGGTTTAGAAACAAAAGAAGTTAATTATTTCCAAGATATGAATGAGGAAAAAAACTTTGAAACGGCGGTGATAGAATTGTTGGGTTATAAAATTATTGTAATTTGTATATATAGATCACCTGATGGAAATTTTAAAGAATTTTTAAGGAAACTGGAACTAGTTATTAAAAAATTAAGTATGAAAGGAAAACAGTTAATCTTATGTGGGGACTGGAATATGAATTTTTTGCAGGAGAGTGTAAAATTAAATGAACTAAAAAATCTTTTGCATGTATATAATTTGGTAAATACAGTGGAGGTCCCAACTAGAGCTACAAAGAGTACTAAATCATTGATTTATGTAATCATTATAAATAATAGTAATTATACAAAACCATCTGTAGTAATAGATCTAGGTTTTTCAGAACATTATGCTCAAGTATTATCTACATGTATTGAGAATTTTGTAAGACCATTAAAAGTTAGGAGGAGAACGTTTATTGAAGGAGGCAAGGAAGAACTGCAATATATTTTAAACAAAGAATCATGGCAAGATGTGTTTTTAGAATCTGATGTAAATGGGAAATTTAAGGTTTTTATGGATACTTCCCATTATTACTTTGATATGGTTTTCCCCTTAAAATTATTTAACCAGAGTAAACAACAAAAGGTTGGGTTACTCAGGGAATAAGAAAGTCCAGTAAAAGGATGAGTTGGTTGAATAGTTTGTAAAAGAGAATAAATCTTACAGGAAAAGAACAGGAGTATATACATAAATATCGAATGATATATAAGAGAGTAATAAAGGAAGCTAAGAAGAGGGAAAATGATAGGCATATAGCTAATGCAAAAAACAAAACTAGAGCAATGTGGCAAATACTGAATAAGGAATTAGGAAATAACTTGCAAAGGGAACTGGGAATAGAACTAAAGTGTGGGACAAGGAAAGAGGCTAATCCACAGCGTACAGCTGAAATGTTTAATTTATATTTCGCGGACATAGTAGGAAAGCTTGTCAAGCAAAATAATAGTACAATGTTGTGCTGTAAAACACCACAGAGAATAAATACCTGTAATGAGACCATGTTTATTTGTCCAGTGGCAGAAAACGAGATATTAGAAGTGGTGAAGAAATTTAGGGGGAAATTTTCAGCAGGTACCGATGAAATACCGGATTATGTGGTTAAAAAATGTATAGAAGTGGTTAAAACGCCATTAACCCACATTTATAATGCGTCTCTAGAAGCAGGTATTTTCCCAGAGAGATTTAAGATAGCAAAAGTAAAACCACTTCATAAAAAGGAATAGAAGAAGGATATCAAAAATTATAGACCAATATCCCTTTTGTGTGCTTTCTCGAAAATCTTGGAAAAGTTGATGCATAATAGGTTACTCTCCTTTTTGACAAAAAATACCATATTAACACTTTGCGGACCGGACACATGATATCAGGCTTTTCGCTTTTAAACGTGGCCGACTGGTCACATGATATCAGGCTTTTAGGACACATTAGGTTGTAACACACTATACCTTGCTCTGGCACCATGCAAATGCAATGAATACTGCATAATAAATCTTCGGAATGTATGCTAGGTATTCAGTAACTTGACCTGGCTGGCTAGGGTCCCTACTCCAAAAGAAAATAAACTTTGCCTCTTCCAGCTGTTTATGTACCAGGCAGGAAGTTAGTAGAGGGGAATATGTTTCAAGGACAAAAGTGGTTGAAGGCAAAGCGATCTCTCTGACTTGTTTTCCAATGAGCTATCTGACATGCCTTGTGGAANTTAACAAAGGCCCATCATGGATTTAGGATGAATAGGTCGACTGAGACTGCAATTTACTCTTCTCTATCAAACATACAGGAATCAACTGAGAAAAAAGAAAAATAGGTCAGAATTTTTTGTGATTTAACTAAAGCGTACGATGCCATAAATCATGACACCTTACTTTCTAAATTACAAACATATGGAGTTAGAGGTGTGGCAAACTCATGGTTTAAATCATGTTTGGCTTACCAGAAGCAAGTTGTTGAAATAAGTTGTGATGGCAAAAAATATACATCAGCTCCAAGAGAAATTAAATATGGAGTACCACAGGGTTCAGTGCTTGGACCATTATTATTTTTTTTATACATAAATATCAAATATCAAAGAAGCAAGGACAGTTTTGTTTGCAGATAATATAAATATTTTGGTAACAGCTGAAAAGGGACATCTGCAGCAAAAGATAAATCAAGTCATGAATGAGTTATATGGATGGTTCAATGCAAATAATCTTATACTGAATACTGAGAAAACAATGGCAATGACATTTCATAATAGACAAGAAAGAGATTTGATGAAACCTCAAATCAAATTTGGCAAACTGGAGATCTCCTATAAATGTGAAATGAAATTTCTAGGTACACATGATTGATTGATTGATTGATTGATTGATTTCGTCACTGTAGATCATTGTACATGATATAGGACAAGTCAAGTTAATTCTGAATATTAACAATTTAATATATGAGTAAGATTAAAATTGCAATAGTTACAACTGTTTATAGTTGATTACAATTTAGGATTAGTTAGATATTCTTATTTGTGGAGAATTTGATGGAATGAAGATTGGCAGGGGAAACCGAAGTACATGTTGGCGAGCATATGGAGTGGAAAGCTCATATGATGTTCTTAACCTCAAACTTCATAAAGTCTGTTACATGATAAAATCCCTTCGGGATGTAACAAGCCGACAGGTTATAAGGAGTATTTACTTTGCTCACTTCCATGCTTATTTGAAATATGGTTTAATTTTCTGGGGTAGCGACCCAAAAAGTAAAATTATATTTAAATTGCAGAAACGAATTGTTAGAATAATTAGTGGTGTGAGTAGATTAGCATCATGTAGACAACTTTTTAAGGATTTAAACTTACTTCCACTACCTTGTATGTATATTTTTGGAATAGTATGCCATGTTAAAGTACATTTAGAAAAGTTAGAACAAAATAACATAGTTCATAATCACAATACATGCCAGAAGTTAAATCTCCACGCTCAGTTCTGCAGAACAAATGCCTATAAGAAAGGAGTACTGAACATTGGAATAAAATTATACAATAAAATACCAAATAAAATTTGGGAGATAGTTTAAAAAAGGTAATGAGGTCATATTTGGTACAACATACGTTTTATTCTGTAGAGGACTATATGTTAAATTAAAGATGGTATGTCTGTGAAAGGGGGGTATTTATTTTTAATTATATAAATTGAACTATTGTATGTTTAATGTGTATGGAACGTTTTCCTATGACAGTGATTTGATGAGGAAGGAAGAATGGTTGATTGATTGACTGATTGATGTGAAATGGATTGAACTGGTTACTCTGTTGGGGAATTTATGTTATCTTAAATTTTTAATATAGTTTTATATGGTATGTTGGACATGTACACAATTTGTGTATGTAGTTAAATATTATAGCATTGTCGACTTTTATATAAATAATTTGCCTTGTTTTATATCTGGAATCTGTATTGCAAAATGTGGATTTCTGGAACCAATAAAAATATGAATATGAATATCACAACCACAATTTCGGGGAACGTAATACCAACGCTACGTTTCCGAGGTCGGGCCTTGAAGAATAAGTAAACAAGTTACACTTTTACCACTTGCATACTCAAAATTATATTCAAACAAATAACAAACTGGATGCAAAAACTAGCTAACACATTTAAACAATAACCTATACGGCTGAAATGATACGACAAAGTTCAGAGCTTAATGGCAACCACAAGTACACCAACTTAACCTTTATTGTATAAACCCTAAAATTGTGGCAAATTAGTGAACATGTTCTGCCTCTAATATTTACATAATAACCAATTTTCCAAAAGACTAACACGTATACAAACATGAATTAGAGCTATATACCAGAAATTCATCACCTTAAACGCCATCTGCCCCGATGTGTCCTACGTCTGCGGAAAAACAGAAATCCGCCGATTGCCAAACACTACTGAATTAAAAAATTAAAAATGACCAGTATGCCTGAAATGAGCCAATACAACAACATCAATTATGTTCCTTATTTGCCTCTATATCTATTAGCAATCATATAATACTAATTTTCAATTCAAAATTAACGATTATTTTTACACAAATTTAAAGATGGCTACAGGCCGTCACCCAAACATTGTCGATGTTACTATTTTCGCGCTAACATTGAAAAATCGATCGAGTTAAAAAATGGAAGGTGTTTAAAGATGAGCCTTATTTTACGTTCCATAATTTTCCTAGAGTCAAACTTCGAAACTACCTTGTTTGAATTTATAAGGAAATATATATTCTTAGACAGTGTAATATTATTTATAGCGTTCACTGACTACAGTAGTGAATGTAGAGGATGTAGAGCTCATGATATCCGGTTCCGCATCTTAAAGCGGACGAAGGTAGACCAGAAACTGAAGGGGAAACTGCAACGCAACCGAAAATTCCGAGAAATGTCGCCGATTTCAAGAAGGCAACTGGTTTCCAGATTAGCAGGCGCACACTAGGGAACCTAGGGGCTAGGAAAAAAGGGAGGAAACATCTGATGATTCCAACCCTATACTTTCTCCCAGCACGAAGCAATTCGTGCCAGGAGGCGCCCCTGACACAAATGTAAACATGCGTAATTGCGCCCAGTAGGAGTGGTATGAGTGGGCGGAATTGTCGTGCTTAACGCTGTGGTGCCTGTGGTGTGCGTTGAGGCGTTGAGCGTGTTGAGGTACTGAGGACCTTCAGGCAGAGCTTGTTGAGGGAATTCATAGCATTTGCAACCTTAAAGGCGTTCGTTCGAAAATTACCTATTTGGCCCTTGTCTCCGATACAGTTACATACAATGTATTGCATAATTATATTTATTTGTCTCTCAATTAGCGTTAATCAGGCAACGAAGTTGCCAAACCAAGGTAAGAATGTCAATGTGTGTGAAGCCTGAGATTATCAGTACTAATGGTGTCAGTGAACATATATAATTTTTACCGTCAACGCAACAATACAATATTTATTTATTTATTTGTATAGCACACACTACATGTTTCGACCTCAAACGGGTCATCTTCAGGTGCTGCAAGTTTCTCACATACCATTGCAGCACCTGAAAATGACCTGTTTCAGGTCGAAACATGTAGTGCTTTGTTGCTTTGACGGTAAAAATTATTTATGTTCATTGTATATATGCAACAGGATGCAATCCCTAAAAATATTAATGGGGTCCGTACAGCGAAACTGTGAAATAACCCAGATGTTTGTTTATATGTAAAATAGAAGCTGGTGTTTGTGGGTATTTTGACATTTGTGTATTTTATGCCTTTTGTAAGCCCAAGCCGCCAGTGATTCAATGGTATTCTTGGTAGCTTATGCCAATCCCCACTCAAAATGTCCCAGCTATTGAACTGTGACTTCAGTACTTGGAAGTGGCACTGTCTGAGTAAAATGTAACTGAAATCTATTCGAGGAGCAGTGGTACCTTCACAGGAAGTGAATCCTGTTGCAAATGTAGCATGAGCATCAGTGAAATTAGCCATTCAGGGTGTTATACGATGGCATAATGTTGCTCTTACTGCAGACGTTTTCATGCATAACTACATAGAGCTGAGTCCTTCAGGAGATACCAGTCCCTCATCTGCTCAAGGATTTCCCAACATTGTATGGAACCCAAAGGTTCATGACCATGTTTATAAGAACCCTCCTCTGGTCCCTATCCTGAGACTGGTCAATCCAGCCCATACTACTCCATCAAATGTCAGATCCATTTTAATATTATCCAACCACCAATATCTTTGTCTACCTAATGCTCTCTTTCCTTCTGGCTTTCCCACCAAAATCTTATATGCATTCCTCTTCCCCTCCATTTCTGCTGTGGGTCCTGCCCATCATATCCACCTTGACTTGATCATTCTAATTATACTTAGAGAAGAATAGAAGTTATGAAGCTTCTCATTATGCAGTTTTCTCCAACCTTCATTTTCTGTCTTCAGTCCAGATATTCTCCTTGAACACCCTCAGTTTATGTTCCTTAATGTTAGAGACAAAGTTTCATACCCATACAGAACCACAGGTAAATTACAGTTTGATATATTCTAAGTTTTATGTTTTTAGATAGCAGAGGAGAAGACAAAAGGTTCTGGAGTGAATGGTAGCAAGCGGCGACCCAGGTTCGATCCCAGGTCTGGTCAAGTGGGATTTGTGGTGGACAAAGTGGCGCTGTGGCAGGTTTTCTCTGAGTAGTTCGGTTCCCCCTGCCCATCTTCATTCCACGAATTGCTCCCCAATCACCCTCACCTATCATCTGGGGCTGGTACAATAGGCCAGAAGTGGCCGCAGTACAAGGGACTTAGTCCCACCCCACTAGCAATAAAAAAAACATTACCCGAATTCAGTCTCCTCTTAATTTCCTCCTGAATCAAATTTTGATTTATTACTGTTGTTCCCAATTTCTTTAACTGTGCCGCATTTTCAAAGGACCTGTTATCTATTTTTATGTCATGATTTTCCTTGCATTCGGGTGACAAGACAGCAACATATACCTAGTTTTCTCTGTGTTTATTTCTAGGTCAACCTCCTTACTAGTGTCATTTCAAATTTCTGGTTTTTCTTTGTGGTATCTGTGTTATCTCCCAACAGATTTACATCATCAGCATATACCAGGAGCTGATATGTCCAATTTAATTGCAGTCCCACCTGGTTTTCTTGGACCTTCCTAATGGCATATTCTAAAGCAAAGTTGAAAAGAAGTGGCAAGAAGGCAACAGCTCATTTTAGACCATTTTGGATAGGAAAATTATCAGAAGAATGTTCACCTATATGGACTTTACTGTAGGTTTCATTTAAACACATTTTAATCAGCCTAACTCATTTCATGGGTGCTCCAAACTTAATGAAAATATTGTAAAATACTTCCCTCATAACTGAAGTGGATGGATGGATAGCTGATGTACTGTCTCACTGTACTCCCATTTTTTCTCCAGTATCTGACAAATGCAAAAAATGTGATCAGTAGTTGATCTGTTACCTTGAAACCCACACTGATGATCTCCAATAATTTCATCTACGAGGGGGGACCCAAAAATAACTGGAACCGACCTGTTGCGCGCGCATGCTTTGTATTTACGAGTTGTGCTGCTAGGTGGTGTTAGCTGGGGGTCTCCCGCGACTGTTAGTGAGCTGGCGTCAGTCTGAGTTAAGTGGTTTGTCTGTGGTGCTCTGTTGTGTGTGTTCCTGTTTCAACCCTTTGGCGATTAGTGAGATGGCTGACCAGAAGGAACAAAGAGTGTGCGTGAAATTTTGCGTTCTGTTAGGGAAAACTGCAGCCGAGACTGTTAGGATGCTTCGGCAAGCCTTTAATGATGATGCTTTGGGGAAATCACAGGTCTACGAGTGGTTTTCCCGTTTCAAATCTGGCAACATGTCAACAGAAGACATGCCACGCCCCGGGCGTCCTTCGACAGGAAGAAATGACGAAAACATTGCCAAAATCAAACGTGCAATTGATGAAGATCGTCGAAAGACCATTGACCAACTTTCTGAGGAAACGAACATCTCATGGAGCACGGTCCAGCGAATTTTAANTTTTTTTTTATGTGAATGGCATTGTCCACAAAGAGTTCGTTCCGCCAGGACAAACAGTGAACCAACATTTTTACCTGGATATGTTACAAAGATTATGAGAGAGTGTGCGACGAAATTGGTCCAAAATGTGGAGAAATGGGAACTGGTTGCTTCACCACGACAATGCTCCAGCCCACACAGCTTTGACGGTCCGACAGTTTTTGACAAGCAACAACATGGTGATTGTGCCTCATCCACCTTACTCACCCGAGCTGGCTCCGCCGGACTTTTTTTTGTTTCCACGGATGAAGAGAAATCTGAAAGGAAAGCGATTCCGTGATGTGGATGAAGTCAAAGAAAACACGCTAAAGGCTTTGAACAGTATCCAGCCTCAAGAATTCCTGCACTTTTTTGAGCAGTGGCAAAAGCGTTGGGACAAGTGCATTAATGCACATGGACAGTACTTTGAAGGGGACTAATATACAGTTCAATAAAAATGCAAAAATAAAAAATAACAAAAATAAATTCCGGTTATTTTTGGGTCCCCCCTCGTATATATAGATTTAAACTTGAGAGAAGGATATTGGATAAAATTTTGCATGAAGTTAGTAACAGTGATATCCTACAATAATTACTACAGTTATTTTTATTGTCCTTCTTGTAAATTGGTACAGTAATAGACTCCTTCCACTGATCAGGCAGCTCTTCCTTATTCTAAATAGAATTGGCTTATGAGTCAGAACGTGATGTTTCACCTCCTGCTTGAATCAGTTCTCCCAGAATTTGATCACTTTCTCATGGTTTATACTTCTTGAACTTTGCAATAGCAATTTCAACCTCAAAAGAGCTCGTAAATTTTGTCTTTCAGATATTTCTTCTTTTTATTCTTGAAATGCCTGCTGGTTTCACATATTGTTCAGCTTGTCCTCATTTATTTGCTTGGATCCTGTAACCACTGCAGTCTGGCTTGTTTCCTCTGATCTAACAATTTTGAGCATCGTTCGTTGAATTATTGCTGATGCGTCTTCACTTCATAATAACCTATCGTCTCTTAGTCAGAATTTGTTATATTCTCTCTAATAGTTTCTCAGGCACTCTTAATGTCCGCCTGTTTGAGTTTCCAGTACGATATGCTCTTTACCCACTACCTCATTTAAATTGAGGCTTCAGAAACTGCTTCTTCTCAATTAGTCACTCATATCCCTTGTACTTCTCTGTTACACCTCCAAGATATGCTGCCATCACTGGTTAAGAATTCTGACCTTATTGTTAAAGGCTTTTATATATTCACAATGAAACATCACTCACTCACTCACTTATGGAGCTGAGCCCTTCTTGAGAAGCCACAAGTTGTGCAGATACCAAGAACTTCCCAGCATTTCATGGAACCCGAAGTTTCATTACCTTGTTCACAAGAGCCCTCCACTGGCCCCTATCCTGAGCCAAATCAATCCAATCCGTACCATCCCACCCTGTCTCCCTAAAATCCATTTAGTATTGTCCACCCACCTGCGTCTTGGTCTTGTAGTGGTCTCTTTCCTTCTGGCTTTCCCACCAATATCCTATATGCATTCCTGTTCACCCCCATTCATGCTACATGCCTCGTCCATCTCATCCTCCTTGGTTTGATAATTCCAATTATACCTGGAGAAGAGTACAACACAGTGGAACATACAATTAAAATATTAAATTTGAGCATAGGGAGTTATTGTGTTAGAAATTATTATGGCATTTTACTTCAGTACTGTGCTTTGTTTCATTGCTTCATTGCATTATTTCTGAGAATTTGCTGCAAATAACGCAGAAGTGTAAGCTCAGATGTCACTGTCTCCATACACAGAATCGTATTTTAAATAGGATGGATTATATTCATGATATGATGCATGAAAGCCAGAGTACACGTTAACACATTGCAGAACGGATGGGCCATATGGCCCTCTACGTTTCCAAGCGTTGCGGACCGAGCGGGCCATATGGCCCTCTATGGTCACATTATGTTGCAAAACTATATATCGCTGTGTGGCTTCTTTGAATCGTAACTACTGCGTAGATGACCTCGGGAATAATTGCTGCCTTATCTAGTAACTCGACCAGAGTCATTTCCTGTCAGAACCTAAACAAAATTGGCTTTGTTGTAATCCAAGCTTGCACGTATGAACCACGCAGCTACCAGTTCAACATGGCTCAGAGACGAAAGCAGTTGCGATCTCTCGGAGGACAGGAAATATTAGATATGTTCTCCGATGAGCTATCAGATTTGCCAACTGCTTCGTCTTCTGATAGCGAGGCCATTATCAGTGACAGTCAGTGACGGGGGCCACAGGGCTGCCCAAAATGTTTTCAAGTGAAAGTGTGAGCTCCGTTGAAAGTGCGAGTGTCGGGACAGCTACATGGGATAAAGTGGACAAAACCCCCACTTTGGGAAAGTTTACTGGTGATCTGGGGGTGAAGCAGATGCCATCAGACCCAACGGACGTGTCTGAAGTTGCGTCACTGTTTTTTGGAGATAGTTTTTTTGACGGAAAGGGGACATTCTTCTTCAGTCCTGGAGGGATACTCGCGTTGTGAATATGGTTTCCACTATTCACAATTCGAGCATGGTCGATGTTCAAAGACAACACGGGCAAGTAAAGAAGCCTGTTTCTATTTCCGAGTATAATATGTTCATGAAAGGAGTTGATAGGGCCGACCAGTTCTTGGCCTATTATTCCCTTCCTAGGAAAACAGTAAAATGGACGAAGAAAGTTGCACTGTGGCTTATAAACTGTGCAATTTTCAATTCATTTACGGTTTTCAAAAAGGTGAACAGAAATTCTACTCTGAAATACAAAGCATTTCTGTTGAAACTGGCAAAAGCTTGGGCTACTGACGTCACGGTGGCGGCAGTACCTGCGTCAGACACAGACGTAGTGCAGCCGGGGCCATCTGTTCGCACCCGCCAGTGGCCTCAAGTAGACCCCCATGGCCGACTCTTGGGTGATATGCGGAAACACATTCTCGTGAAAATTGTGAAGAGTGAATATTGCAAGAAGAAACACCCTTCTAGGCAGTGCTGTGTGGCCGCAGAGCACAAGAAGAAGAGTAGAACTGCCTACATGTGCAACTTCTGCGTGATGCCTCTTCACAAAGGGGAATGTTTCCAGAGATATCACACACGCAAGCACTTCTAGGAGCTCTGGTAAGTGTTCTCCAAAAATTTCAGTTCATAAAATTAATTAGAAGATTTTATATTAATTTTTAAAGTGAACAGTGCACAAGTTAGGGTAGTAGGTTTAAAAACACTGGTCCCCAGGGTGAATTAAATGTTTAAACCACCGGTCCGCAATGTGTTAATTGCTAGACAGCAACTCAGTAAACATGTACCTGCAGCAATGGATACACAAGCAACATTCGAGGTATTGTTGGGCGATAACAGTGGAAACTGTTTTCTGTTGGGTCCACCCCGAGGCTATATAATGAGGATCCCAGGCCAGCTGAGGAAATTATCTGAGGGAGTCTCTTGAGATGGCAGTCAGAGATGACAACAAGTTAGTTGAGTTGCAGGAGTGTGGCAATGAAAAGAAGACTTCTTGTGTGCTGCAGTTACAGTGAGATTGGTATAGTTACTGTATGAAATCATGTGCCAGGATACGACTAGGGTAGACTGAGAACCCTAGTGTGTGTAGCAGCGAACTGTAAAGTGTGTAGATCAGCATTTAGTGCTGTCTTACTTGTGGTTACGAGTTGAGTGTATAAGTGCAATAAATCCAATTATCCAGTCCAAACCCCATCAAATAGTCTCCTCTAAAGCATGGCAATATTTTCCTTTTGGCTTTGTATTGTTCATTGTATTCGGTTTGAAAGTAGCTTCAATACTGGTTTTCATTACTAATAATTGTTAAGTTTAATATTTGGTCTCATATAAGTCAGCATCCCCAAAATATTATGTAAATAACATGAGTGTAGCCACTTGTGGCTACTGAGTGTAAATAGGAATATAGTGATCTCACGTTGCAATCCGGTAATTTAGTAATGTGTAACTGGAAATACCTGTAGATGACCCTTTAAGGGTCAAAACGTGTAATGTAACCCAAATTAATAAAAATTGTTGCATTGACAGCTGAATCTGTATTATTATTAGATGTACTTACGCAACAGGATGTACGCAATAAAAATAACTGGTTTTGGTGTTTTCTTGTTTGTTTTTTCTAAGAATTTAAAGTATGAAGCTATTCATTTTGAAGTTTTTTTCCATTTGCCTATTACTTCATCTTTTTTAGGTCCAGGTATTCTCACCAGCATTTTCTTCTCCAAGACCTCGAATCTATTTCTTCCCCTAAGATGAGAAACCTAGTTTCACACATGTACATGACAGAAGTAAAAATATGCCTTGTATATTTTAATATTTGTATTTTTATGCAGGAGATAGAATAAAGTCCTTTTTAAATTTGTAATGACGCCGTTTTCTTGGTGTTTGTTTATAAAAAAAATAAGGTAAAGCTATCCCTGTAACAGACCATGAAGGCCCATATGGTTGTGGGACGTCGAGGCTCCCACATTTTCTAGACAATTGGCTTGCAGATGGTGGTAAGGTTGTCAGCCTTACACGCTGGTTGCCCTTTACTCCCCAGGAAGATTCCTGGTACTCATTTCTGTTAGAGGCTGAGTCGACCCCAGGGCCATATTGTGGCTGAAAGGATTAGGACAATTGGTAAAAATCCACCTCATTGGGACTCAAACCTGCGACCTTCCGGCTTGTAGCATAGTTCGTCAACCAACTACGCTACCGTGTGCCCCATGGTGTTTGTTTATATCAGTGTTTATATGTACTCATTTGCCAGAACAAGTTGTGGCATCCACAAGACCACAAGACAGTTACTTGAAAGTTCAGACATTAATATTCTCATTCCCTCTGTTGGTGACTGCTGGAAGTATAATTACATTTTACATTACATTGCTTTGCATTCCATGGATCCAAAGTTAGTAAAATAACTGTACAATGTGGAATATAAATATAAATACAAAACATGTACAGTCCCAATGGAGTTCTCACACAAGAGAAACCAAGAATACACAGTGACTACACACAAGGCTATTTAAAGATACATAAGTTATTTTCTAGACAATAGGTATACATCAGCAGATTAGAATGAATGTGTATTTAAGTATAGTTTCAGTCCTATTTTAAATTGTGCCTTTTCATTCATAAGACCTTTGAGATCAGATGCCAGGTTATTAAAAATGTTGATCCCAGCATAATATGCACTTTTCTGAAAGCATGATAGGTTAGCAATTGGTTTATGAAGACAGTTATTTAAATTTCATTACAGGGGATTAAATCCATGGATTAGGGTTAATAAAATTTGCATTCTGTTGTTTATTGTGTCCCTTTCAATTGTGTGCTCACTGATATTTCACATTTGTTTATTTTGCAGGTAATAATCTCAGTATTGGAAAAAAAGTTACTGAAGAACTGAATAAAATAAAAACAGCAGTCTTAGATGTATGCAAATGTTCCAGCTACACCTGTGGTTGTTGTGCCCACTTAGAAGAGAGGGATATACATCTCAACAGCACAAGTAAGATTGTCAGGGTAAAAGAAAAAATTTTTCACTTTGCAGAAAGTCTATGTTGCCTCCTTACTTTATTTGTATAAAAATAGCCATATGTTCTTTTGAAATATGTGTGTATATATATATGGTGGCTATTTGGAAAGTAACCTCAACTTGGCAACAAATGTAGAGTATGGGGGACAACTTGCACATGCAGGTGCCTTGTAAACAATCACATAACTGGTCACCTAATATTTATTCTTTCTTGCCTCTGCAGAGCTTAGTTATGATATGTACTGTGATTGATACTCCCACCAGCAACGAAATTCGTGCTCTTATCCACTTTCTTCACGCTAAAAACATGACTGCCGCAGAAATCAATCATGAATTATGCGTGGCAGTTTACAGCCAAAATGTAATGAGTGAAGGAACAATGGTGTAGAGTCTCCAAAGATGGGCAAATAGATGTTCATAATGAAGAGCGAAATGGTTAGCTGGCCATCTGTAGTGAGTGATAACTTGTTCAAAGTGTTGACCAAAGAAATTTTTGGAAGACGGCACTTCACAATTTCAGAACTTTCATGTGAATTTCCACACGTTTCACACACTGTTCTGTACGAGATTATCATGGTTAAGCTAAGCTTTGCACAACATGGATTCCAAAAATGCTCACAGGGGTGCACAAAACACAGAATGGTTTTTGTCTTTGACTTTTTTAGAGTGATTCCAGAAAGATGGCAGTGAATTTCTCAGTAACATCATATGAGTAACAGGTGATAAAATTGGGTTTTATTTATGAATGTTGAACCCAAATAGCAGTCAAAGCAGTGGATATACACACATTCACCAAACAAGCCAAAAAAGTTTAAACAAACACCTCCCAGAATGCCAATGGCAACTGTTTACTGGGACAGGAAAGGAGTGCTGATAGTAGAATTTAGCAACAAGTATTACAAAACACACAAAAACACATCAGCTGCGTGTTATTTGTCCACTGGAGTTAAGTACTCTGATCTTGCTCCAAGTGACTACAGCCTGTGCAGTCACTCCTAAGTACAGTCAGTACAGCACTACTGCTGATCTACTTGCTTCACAAGTCACCAGGACATGCTATCCATTTCCTGGCATCAGATTTTATAACACAGGAGCTATCACTTCAAATCACTATGAAGTCTTCTTATAATTTCATCCTCATACACTCTGTCCTAACCTGTACTCAGCTGCTTCAAGCAAAGTTAAAGTCACATTGCGACTAACGATCAGTCAGTCAGTAAGTCTTAGTGTTGAGCCCCACGTGGGGCTCATGACCAGACATTTATTACTGTTTGACAGTTACGTTCTTGTTTTTGTGGGGCACCCTCTCTGACGAAAGGATGGGTCTGACTTTTGTATATGCTGTTTGCTCTTGCCAGCGCAGTCCTTCTCAGGTCCAAGTGCCGTGGGACTTGCAACCATATTTTACTGTCTCAGCTTTGAGACTTCCCTTTTTGTCACCTCCTATTACTCGCAGGGTCACGATGAAGGTATTTGATTCTGCCTCCATATGGGTGGTGCTTCAAGCGATTTTCCATGTCAGTTTTAAACCTTCAACATGGATCACATAGAAAACAACTTCTGTTGCCAGAATGTGTTTATCTAGCACAGGGGTTTTCTGGCTCCATAGGTTAATGCTTTGAACAAAACTGTCACAGAATTTCTTTATATGTAATAAAAGTTTTTTTTTTTGTCTCATTGCTTGCTTTGTGAACAACTCACTGGAGGGTACTTTCCGAGTAGCCCTCATGCATGAATATATTTGAGCCTGAAATTTGTACATTGTCCTATATATATAGAGAGCTGGGATAGCTCAGTTAGAATAGTGACAGACTGTGGGCTGGATGGCTGGGGTTTGATTCCCAGCAGGGGCAAGAGATTTATCTCTTCTCCAAAGCATCAAGACCAGCTGTAGGGCCCCACCTAACCATCAGTCCAATGGGTAATGGGTTTCTTTCCCTGGGGCTGAAGCTGTTCGCTCACCTCCATTTAGTGTTTAAGTGGAGAATGGTGGAAGTATACCTCCACTCCCCATATGTCTTCATGGCATTATGCTTAATTAATAAGCACATGGACAATTTGACTTGACTTTACTTTGGTTTACATTGTAATACACACAAAATGGTCAAGGCATCCCCTGGTTAGTAACTGAATTCCTGCGTATTTGTGGTTTGTGCCTCACTCTTGCCTCATTTTGGAGTTCGGTCCGAACATCAAGATTTTACTGCTTCTTTATTGCCCTTGGAGTCACATATGATGCCTTAAACAAATATTTATTCTAACCTAACATGATTTTCTGCCTCCATGCTATATACACACTTTGCCAGCACACAAGTGCAAGAAACAGTCCAAGTCAAACTATTCCTTTGGAAACATGGTGAAATGTGACATCATGTGGCTCATTTGCCTGTCTCTGAGGTTGTATGTAAGTACAGGGTCCGGCAAATTGACCTCCCGTATTTCAAAAGGCAGTTACAAACAAACAAAGAAAGATACAGAAAAAATACTTTTATTTGTGAACAACAAATACGATGCTATTTTACATTACTTGGTTTTAAAGATTATTTCCGGTAAATGGCGTCCTCCATTGTTCACACATTGACAAAGCCTTTCCCGGAAGTTGTCCATAGTTCTTCGTGTCATTTCCGGTGGAATGGCAGCCACTGCCTGGGTGATTGCCTCCTTAAGTGCTTGCAGGGTTGTGGGGTGATGTTTGTACACTTGCGCCTTTAAGTGTCCCCAAAGGAAAAAATCACAAGGTGATAAATCGGGTGACCTTGGGGGCCAGGCGATGTCTCCTCGCAAAGAGAGAAGACGTCCAGGAAACAACTCTCTCAGAATTGCTAAAGAACGCCGCAAAGTGTGAGCTGTGGCTCCATCTTGTTGGAACCAGGTTTGTCCCTCTTCATGGTTCCCAACAAACTGGTTTAACTTAGGTCGGAGGAAGGTCTCGATCATGTGACAGTAGCGATTCGAAGTAACCGTTACCGTTAGCCCATTTTCCTCGAAAAAATAAGGACCCCACACACCAAATTCAGCAACAGCGCACCAAACTGTCACACGAGGGCTGTGAAGTGGTCGTTGGTGAAGTTCCTGAGGGTTTTCTGCTGACCAGTAGCGGAAATTTTGTTTATTTACAGTACCTGACAAGTGGAAGTGGGCCTCATCAGATGAAATCAAAACAGCGCCAGAGGGAATGTTCTGAAGAATGTCCTCACACGCAGCTTTGCGAGTTTCAAAATCTCTCTCACTTAATTCTTGGGTAACCATCATTTTGTATGGGTGCATGTGTAGATTTCTGTGCAGGATTCTTCTTACACTCCTATCAGACAATCCCAGGGCAGCTGCATGTTTAAGTGCTGAACGCTTTGGAGATTGCTGGATGGACGCTCTCACACGCGCCACATTTTCCGGCGTTGTTAGATACTGAGGTCGGCCAGGCAATTTCTTTTTCAGTGCAGAACCTGTTGCTCTAAAGTTTGATACCCAAACGTGAATAGTTTTTCTATCCGGAACAGGATCATGTCAGCCAAGTTTGAACCGAATGTGAAATGCTCGCTGAGTAGTAATCACCGATTCACCATTACAAATATACTCTTCCACAACAAACGCACGATGCTCACCGTGCCACGCCATTGTGACTACTGCAAATGACACTTATACCGCTATCGATCGATACCCACTCCGCCACCATATCCCCACCACAACTCACACAGCGCCCTCTCCAAATACGGGAGGTCGATTTGCCGGACCCTGTATGTAGATCACAGTGCCCATTTTGGAGCTGACCACTGATTTGTAGGTTACTCCAGTAGTGAAGGAAGGTGGAATTAAGAAATGTAATTGATGGGGAGTTGAAGGCTCATGAGAGACACATTGGACTGTTATGTTTCTTTTTCTTACTTTCTTTCTTTCTTTCTTTCTTTCTTTCTTCTTTTCTTCCTTCCTTCCTTCCTTCTTTGTGTGTGTGTACATGTGTGCACTTATGGTCATGATGTCACTTTATTCTTTGTCATCATAATCAGTGCCATTAATGGCATCATCTTGCTCTTGGAAGCATTGATCAAACTTATTTGCATATATCTTTGAAAAACCTTGCTTCTGTATGTACTTCATATGTACAAAAGCATTTTCTCATGTGACTTGTTTACTGTTTCAACATACCGATATAGTTGTATAGCCCATGGTAGGCTATGATAAATAGGTCATTGACTTTGTATGTTCTGTGTTAATCAAGTTGCTGCAGTGATAATGTGAAGTACAATAAAGAAGTGGTTGAACATACTAAAGTTATAGCGACTGGCTGTGAGGTGTATGGCTGGGGGGTCATTTCAAGTCACAGTAAGGGTAAGATTTAGCTCAAGTGGTTAGTTGCTCGCTTCCCACCGCAGCGGCCTGGGTTCGATCCCGGTTCTGGTCAAGTGGGATTTGTGGTGGACAAAGTGGCGCTGGGGCAGATTTTCTCTGAGTACTTCGGTTTCCCCTGCCAATCTTCATTCCACCAATTGCTCCACAATCACCGTCACCTATCATCTGGGGCTGGTACAATAGGCCAGAAGTGGCTGCAGTACAAGGGACTCAGTCCCATCCCACTAGCAATAAAAAAAAAAAGTTAAGATTTGTCTCTTCTCCATGTCTCCCAGATTGGTTCTGAGCCCACCGAGCCTCCTATCCAGTGGGTATTGGGGACTCTTTCCTGAGGGGTAAAGTGGCCATGGCGAGATTTAGACCACTCACTTCCAGCTAGTGCCAGGGTCAAGAATGGTAGAGCTGTACCTCCAGTCCCACATTCATCTTCATGATGTAGTGCTTAATTAGTTAAACACGGACAAATTTACTTCTTTATTTCTTTATTAATATTTGTATTGCTTTCTTTTCCAGTTTGTGCTAATGTGTCATACCTAGTACATGACTATGGAATTTCCATCACAGTGACTTTGAATAATCATACACTTTTCAACCAAACAATGTCAGGTAAATATATATTTTGCTGCATGTATGTAATGTTCTTAAGTCTGCAGTTTCTACAGTTCAACCATTTGCCCCTCCTAATATAGTAGAACATGGCAAAATTAAGATGACCCTGCTCCTTCCATTGTAGTAAAATGTAGCCAGATCTCATTCAGAATGTAAATGTCTGAAGCAGATGGATTTTATTGCACTATGCAACAGTTCATTTCCAAATGTTTATGTTGAATATGTGTAATAGTTAGTTTTAATATCTTGAACAATAAGCTTTATACTAAAAATGAAGCATTTTAGAAGCTGGTTCTTCTTCCATCATCTATCAAAATTTTGACTTCAGGAAAGGAATATCCATCGAAAATGCATCCTTTAGGCTGACAGACAATGTATTAAAATCTGTTAATCAAAAAATGTGTGTTGGTGGAATGTTCTCTAATTTGGTGAAAGTTTTTGGCTGTGTAAATCACAAAATTGTATTAACTAAATTACTTTTATTTATTTATTTTTTTTATTTTTTTTATTTTTTTGACATTCAAGGAGTAGCATCAAGTTGGTTCAGTTCCTACCTAACAGACAGAAAACAAAAGATTGAAATAAAATCGTCAAATTTAACCAAAACTGCCTGCTAAAATTGGACAACAATAAAGCATGCAGTTCTCCAGGGGTCAATTTTAGGGCCTCTGCATTTCCTAATCTGTATAAATGGCCTCCCTCCTACACTAAACACCTCATTAGTACACATAATTGCTGAAGACACTAGTGTCATAATTTGTAGTCAAAATATGGATGATTTATTCATACAGTCAGAGTTCTCTCTTAAAAGAGTAAATGGTTTTCTGCAAACAAGCTGTCCCTGAATGTACATAAAACAAATGTAACAAAATTTATAATAAAAACTCACCAATTGGTAATAATGATAAATATATAGAAGAGGCAGTAAACAGAGAATTCCTTGGCTTACAAATTGTTAATCATTTAAACTGGAAAAACCATGTCGATCAATTAGTTCCAAAGCTAAGTGGAGCATGTTTTGCAGTTAGATCCATGTTGCATATCAGCTACACTTATGCTCTCAAATCATTGTATTTTGCTTACTTTAACTCTTTAATGAAGTATGAAATAATTTTCTGTGGTAATTCATCTGTCAGCAAAAAAGGTATTTACATTGTAAAAGAAAATTGTGAGACTCATAATGGGTGTCAAATCTAGTAATTCTTTTAGAGATCTATTTAAGAGACCAATTAAATAATTAAAAACATTTTCAGACCAATGCACATGTATGAAGTATTAACACAAGACACAAGCACTATCTGTATAAACCAACTGCTAACATCTCATGCTTTCAGAAAAGCAAATATTATGTTGGGATCAACATTTTCGGTAATCTGCTGTCTGTTCCTAAAAGTAAACACTCACTTATTATACTCTGTTGATGAATACTTATTGTCTAAAAAGTGACTCATCCATCTAAAGGATGTGTAAATAGCATAAGTTGACAGTATTGTTGTATATATGTGGTTGTATTTTTAATGGCCTTATGGGTAACTACTGTGTGAAAACTTCAAACATACTGTACACATGTTTTTGTATTTATATGATATATTCCACATCCTGCAGTCATTTTGACTGGGAAACGCAATGCAATGTAATGAAACACAGAAGCAGAACTAGATCCCAAAATATTGCATTTTAGTCTAAAAACCGTTATAACAGATAAGGTCTGAGGTATTAAAACTAACTACACACTAAAGTTTGAAATGGAACAGGCAAGAGATTAATGCTTGCTGTGTGATGATCTTATAACTCTTTTGAAAGTAAATCTGAACTCCTTAAAACATCATGCAGTTGTCTTCAGAAATAAGGTTCTGTTTATATAGTCCATGTTAAGTGGGTCCAATGCCAGCAGCAGAGGTACATCCTCATGTTGCGGTTTGGAGAAATACAGAGGTCAGCCATTAATATGTTGGTAAATAGTTGTAGGCAGAAAACAAGGGAATATACAAAACTATAATTTTGCCTGTGGTTCTGTATGGGTGTGAAACTTGGTCTCTGGCATTAAGGGAGGAACATAGACTGAGGGTGTTTGAGAACACGGTGTTGATGAGAATATTTGGACCAAAGAGAGATGAAATCACAGGATGTTGGAGAAAACTGCATAATGAGGAGCTTCATAACTTGTACTCTTCTCCAAGTATAATTAGAGTGATCAAGTCGAGGAGGATGAGGTGGGCAGGTCATATAGCACGAATGGGGGAGACGAGGAATGCATATAGGATATTGGTGGGAAAGCCAGAAGGAAGCAGACCACAGGGAAGACCAAGGCATAGGTGGGTGGACAATATTAGAATGAAGAAAGCAGTCTTCTGGGATTTGGCACCGTGTATATGTGGTGTTAANGACCAGTGGAGGGCTCTTGTGAACACGGTGATGAACCTTCGGGGTCCATAAAATGCTGGGAAATTCTAGAGTAGCTGCAGAATTGGCAGCTCCTCAAGAAGGGCTCAGCTCCATGAGTGAGTAAGTAAGTAAGTAAGGGAGAAAACAAGAGGTGACTCTTCAGATAAATATGTTATCAAAATGGCAGATATTACCTTCGACTTAGACAAAGCCAAGGGTGTAATGATGTGTTCTTTGAACATGGTTATGAAACCGCTGACTGCCATGAAACAGGGAATTCTTAACCATCTGAATAACATCCATTTAAATGCATTAACATTCCTGGAATGCACAGAATGTATTTGAATTCTGTTTTTAACTTGGTATTTAGAGTTAGGAAAACTTTGACATCATATTTGTAATTGTTATTTCCTTTGTGAAATCACATTGGATCATCGAGGTAAAAACGGATAAGAAATGAAACGCCTTCGTCCAAATCTAACGTTTACTGGAGACTAACTTCATTCACAAACATTAAAAGATACCAAAGGTACATTAACAAAAAAGTAGCAGTGGGTGTGGTACCAACTTATGAACAATATATATCACATGATAAATATGGCCAACACTACAACTATAGTACTACAACAATAATATCAAATTATTGCTTTTAATGAGCATCCACTTCATCAGAATCTGTTCCCAGAGGCTCACGTAAGTGCCACTCCATTTCTCAGTCATCCATTATGTATTTTTATTTTAAACTTTTCCGTTGGATAATAGTGAACATGAAAACAGCAAAGTGGATGAATATCAGGCTTTCAATTTCAAGAACTGTTCTGAGGCCACAGAATGAAGTTGGTGAAGATGGTGGGAATGACCATGCTTGAGGTTTCTTTGTATTCCCCTCTGGCCCCTGTCTGGCAGTGTTAACCCAAAGTGCTTGTCACTAGTGAAGGTTATCATATGGTTATCACTAGCAACATTGATGTGAATAGAATGGCTAGGCAAATGAATACAGGAAAGTATGCTGCAGGCAGAAGTGTAACAGCTGGTGGATAATCCATTAAGACTACCCTCTGTGGCTTCAGTATCAAAACACTTTATATGAGACAAACTCCGTCTTAAGTGCAACAATTTAATTGTAGGTGTTTCTTCTTTCCTTCCTCTACACGACATGTTTCGGCCCTAAATGGCCATCATCAGGTGTATATTCTTACGTAGCTGCTACACTGCCCGTAGTTTAAAATTTAAAACACCAGTCTTTCCAGTTTGTATGAAATCTTTGTTAACTTACACACGTCAATTTGATTTCCAAAATTGGCACTTTTTAAAACTTCAATTCAAATTAAAATGTCTTTAAATTTTCCGTTCTTTTTCTTTTTCTAAATTTTAAAAATTAAAATTTCTCAGGGTACTTGCCCTATGTCTGTAGTGCTGCAGCGGCCACTTCTTGTTTTATTGCTGTTCAGGTATTGTCTGTAATATACATACATACAATTGGAAAGACTGGTGTTTTAAATTTTAAACTACGGGCAGTGTAGCAGCTACGTAAGAATATACACCTGATGATGGCCATTTAGGGCCGAAACATGTAGTGTAGAGGAAGGAAAGAAGAAAGAACTACAATTAAATTGTTGCACTTAAGACGGAGTTTGTCTCATATATTGTGTGAGTGTAACAGGATGCTTAAGTATAATATCAGAACACTTAATTGTATTACTACTCTCTATGACTGTTTTAAAATGTTGAGAATGCTGATACTGAATGACAAGGATTTCAATAACCAATGTGATCTGCAATTTCTGTTTCATAGCTCGGAATCCGCCACCCCTGTGCATCGGACTGCCGTATGTTAAGGAATTTACTAAGGCTTGTGTCAGAATCTATGACATAAATGTGACCACAACTTTCCTGCATGCCTGTATCAGGGTTGAGGCCTGGATGGAAGTTATACTTATTGCAAAATATGAGTTCGGCTGCTTCAATATTGGATCTCTTCGATTAAGCACTGGTACTTAATCTTTAACACCATCAAACAATACTTTTCTGAGTTTCTGTTACAATAGGTAAACCCATTTTCACAAATTGCCTGAAGTGTTAACTTCACAGAACAGGATGCGACAGTTGTAGTACATGTGTAATGCTCTAGTATTCACAGTCCAATCCAAACTTCCAATACTTGAAAGAGACAAGTTTCAGGAAGCTCGTGGAAATAAACATTTTACATGAAAATGATGGGTCAAGAATTTTCTCCTCTGACTGGCCATGGGCTGGACGACCGAGGGTTCAGAGTTCAAGTCCCAGTGGGGTCAAGAATTTTCTCTTCTCCACGTCATCCAGACTGGCTCTGAGGTCCACCCAGCCTCCTATCCAATGGGTACCAGGGGCTGTTTCCCCGGGGGTAAAGCAGCCGGGGCGTGAAGCTGGCCACTCACCTCCAGCTAATGTTGAGGTCAAGAAAATGTGGATGTATACATCCACTTCTCCATTTGCCTTCATAGCATAGTGCTTAATTAGTTAAGCACGGGGAAAACTTTACCTTTTTTATCTTTACATGAAAATGTTGAGAGATCATTGCTTGCAGATCCACCAACTGGAAGAAGTGTTACTACCTGCAGCCAGTGCATGCTGCACTTTACCATAATCTCATGCATTGTCATGGTACCTATGCCAGGATATGACGACATCATGACCCAGAAGACTTGTTGGTTGGGTTGTTCCAAAGAATTCATGAAGCCATGACCATCTCCTTCCAAATCTTCACTTATTCACTATATTTGTAATCTTCCCTTTCATTCAGTGCTTATCATTTATGCGGTTGCAATGGTATATGTAAGTAACCTGCAAAACAGTAAACACTTCAGCTCCCAGTTTTCATAATTACATTATTTTTTCACCAAGCAAGTCAGCTCAAGTGATTACACCTCTGATTTATATGCGAGAGGTGCCTGGTTCAAATCTCAGACAGGACACTGTCCTGACAAAGGTTGTTTATAGTTTTCTCAGCTCTTTCAGTGTGCTTCACCATTCATTATTCACTTATCACCTTACCATTCATCACTGTGTAGTATCTGTTCTTAGTTTGGGAAGACTTAATAAAATACATTCATAAAAAATATACAATCTATTTTATACTTTAACATAAGGTAATGAGAACAAGTTATTTTAAATTCATACAGCTATGCCAGAATGATCCCTTCAGATGGCATGGAAAGGAAGAGATTTATCACGTATTCACCCGGAAGGGACTATTTAGGCAATGTAATGTTTTTTTGTTTTTGTTTTTCCCTGGGATGATGATGCTACAGGTTTGTGAATGTGAGAATGCAACAAGGTGAAGGTACATTTTGCAGAAGGTTATTTTCATAAGAACCATCTAATCCAGGGTGTTTTACTGCTAATCAAGTTTAGAAGCGTGAAATTAGTACTCTTTTATTACATATGTACAGTAAGTTCATGATTATCCAGTATTCAGGCATCTGTAATTCTCATGCAACCAGCAGAAATTTCAAAGAAAATCTACCATTTTTATACCACTATATGAAAAATTAAGTCATGCACTTATGTTCAGCTACCATATAATATAGTAGTTATAGCTGCCATTAGCAGTATTGCCTGTTGCCGTCCCTCATACAGCTGCTATTACTGTAGGGGCTAATTGAATATGTGATTGTGTTACATTACATTCACAGTCTTTCTTCACCCATCAATCTACTGTGTTACCTATGAAGACCTCCATGCAAAAATTTAGGTGAAAAGATGTTCTGTATTGGGTTGTGTAACTTTTTCTTATGCAGTCAGTGCATTCCATTCTCCATATATGGCTGGATAACCAAGAGTTTACCCTACTGTGTTTCAGAGGGCAAACATTATAAAGCAAGTAATGCAGCCATCATGTCAGCATTGGATGCGCAGAACCAGAAAGATGAGACATCTAAGGAAAGTAATGTCAACGTGATCGTTACTGTTGTAGGAATTACAATTGGACTAATTGTGATGACATTTTTAATTATTGGTATTATTGCAATGGCACAGAAGAGAGGTATGTTTCATTTAGCACATAAGTGGAGTGAGATGCTAGAATGAATGTATTGCCGTTGTGTTTGTGGAATGAAAGCGTTCTATGCATGTCGTTGAGCACTGTTGTGTATCAGCCACTGAGTAGTTAGTGACAGCCATACTACAACTTTGTAACATAGAGAAAGACTGATTCTCTTGGTTTAAATTATAATATTGTATCACTTACTTTTCCAAACTGTATTGGTGTGCACATTACCATCTAAGTTTCTCAAAGCAGTAATTAAAATTAATGTGTCATGGGTAGGATGTCTCATCAAACACTTTTATTTTCTGTGTATGTAGGCATGCACATTTAATTGTGCCTCTCCCTTGATTATGAAGGTTTTAGGAGTGCCATCTGCCTATGTACATATGTGTGTTCAAATCCACTGCTCCCCAAAGAAAGCTGATAGTAGGCTGATTCACCTGAAGATGTGAAAAACGTTTCTGATAACTGCTGCTTGAATACTTGAAATCAACTCTCACAGATTATTTATAGTTAGTTTCAGTTAGTATTCCTGAAATATAACTCATTTTGCAGTTCTTCAGGACATAAATATGAAAGCACCATTTAGTTGACTTCACAGGACTATGCATTGTGCATCCCTTGAAGCATAGACTACACAGCTATATCATAATGTGTCTGCTAGAAAATGAACTGCTCTTGCAGTCTCTGAAAGACACTGCCAGTTGTTCTTTGATGCAGAACTGCTGTTGATATTCAGAAGCAGCAGTAGCATATGTATTCTCATTACCATTCTCATTGCCAACATGCATTGGTGCCAACTTTAAATTATTGTGACATTCAAACCATTCTTGAATTTCAAGCATTTATTGCTCCACAATCGTCAAGACTTGGATTCATGTGAATATGACATTCCTGACTGAGAATGGCATCAGGAATAAGCTCCCAAAATTAAGATATTACCCTGTGTGTATATGGGGTGTTGTCTAAAACATCTATGAAAGTATGTCATTTAAGATTGTACATACATCATTATACCCTCAATAGAAAATTACTAGAATTTTCTGTTATGGATGTGTGCACGTAACTTCGGAACTGATATGCTGTAAGTAAAACTGTATTTTGTTTTTGTTACCTAGGTAATGCCTCCTCTAAAGGGCTGCTGTTTAGGAGTCATCATAACTATGGATCACTGGTGACAGTATCACATGGTGTGAATACCATATGTTGAACATGATGAGGATGAATCTGTTGACAGCACAAACATTACATCTTGAAACCTATGAGAACTTGAATTCCTAGGCTGCATGAAAGTGGGACAGCTTCAAATAATATCAAAAAATACTTTTTCAAAGTTTTGTATGATTTTCAGTGGTTATGTTATATATATAACACTGGAATGTTAATTTTTGTATCCTAAGAGAGGGCAGTGTTTACCTTGTGTGTAAAGCACCAAACTTTGTGGCTAATGAACAGATTACTGGAGTCACATAGCATGTTTTTGAGCCATGCCAAGCTCATGATTTTGTGTCATCATTTTTTAAACTTTCTGCTTTCTTGTTTCTATGACTGGCAGTGTGGCATTCTCTTCCTCTTCCCCTCTCACTGGATAGACTTCTTTGAAGTTAGTATTTTATTTTATTGCTAGTGGGGTGGGACTAAGTCCCTTGCACTGCAGCCACTTCTGGCCTATTGTACCAGCCCCAGATGATAGGTGAGGGTGATTGTGGAGCAATTGGTGGAATGAAGATTGGCAGGGGAAACCGAAGTACTCTGAGAAAACCTGCCCCAGCTCCACTTTGTCCACCACAAATCCCCCTTGACCAGACCCAGGATCAAACCCGGGCCGCCACAGTGGGAAGCCAGCGACTAACCGCTTGAGCTATGGCGTGCCTCTTGAAGTTAGTATAGAGCTGGAGTGTTACTCTGAGTTTGAGCTATATAACACTTTAGAGCTGGTTGGTGCTTTGCAATAAGAGAGTGTAGCTGAATCTACTGGTGGGTTGATATATTCAAATTGTGTATGCATTATGAATTCTGATCTCTCTCTTGACTCAACTCATCACCCACCACTGAAAGGCTGTTTTTAGTTTATTAGCTTCTTTCTGCCAGCACTCTCCATATGTTTTTTTTTGTATACTATTGTGATTTTATCTTTTGTTTGTAGTCAGCCATTATGTAACAGTGCATTACACTGGTCACTTCTTTTCTGTTAATTGTGGTGTGAAGGTGAAGTTGTACTCTACCTAAATTAGCACCCATCCATGACAGTCTCAGATGTATCCGTTATTTTTATACAAATACTTCATCCTTTACTGTAAATACTATGACATGAAAGCTGAAAGCCAGAATAGTGGAAGAGCAAAAGATGTCCATTGCTGAAGAACAGTGCTGTAAACACATTTCTGCAGCAACACGGGCTGAAGCAGCAGTGAAGGAATTGTTGGGGAAAAAAATATGCAACAATAGAAGAACTATGTAAGATTTGAGGCTTTCACAGCGGAGACTATGAAGAAAGCAGTTTTCTGGGGTTTGGCACCATGTATATGTGGTGTTAACCGACGTTTCGGAGGAATGTATCGCCTCCATCAGACTGTGTCTGCTTCTACCGGTTCTCACGGTCTCTTCGCTTGCAGATTTCTTATATTTTTTCTTGTACCCTGAAGATGGAGGCGATACGTTCCTCCGAAACGTCGGTTAACACCACATATACACGGTGCCAAATCCCAGAAAACTGCTTTCTTAATAGAAGAACTGTTGGAGATGGTGTTTTCTATGTGGTTCGTTCTGTGGCTTATATACCAGGCAGTGGTTAGCAATTGATATTGAGAGCAAGTCTGCAGGCAGGCAGTCAGTACCAGCCAGACACAGCTAGGAGTCAGTGGCCAGGAATTTTGGCCATGAGTAGCAATGAGACAGTTGGTAGCCAGTAAGGGCATGAACACTGAAACTGAGGAATCCATTGTTTTAGCTGTTCCCAAGCAATGACTAATAAAGTTGCAAAAGACTTAGTGCATGAATTAGTAATAGCACTCTGTTTCTAGTTAGAAGTCATACGAGTCCAGTAAATCCAATTATCAATCCAAACCCTGTGTCTGGTCACTTTAACATGTGTATAATGGGAAGGGTAAGCATTAGTTTCAGTAGTTGGATGATTCAAACCTCAGAGTGCAATTTATATTTACATTTTTTGCAGTCTTCTTATCTGGCAAGTTACATGCCTCTAATGAATAAACGTTTCTTAAAATTACATGCCATACCATACATATTTAATCAGCAGAAGCAACCTACATATGAATGAAACACCAACGTCACACCAGATAGCAGAAAACTGAAACGCGGCACTATCAGCAAACAGGCACCCACAGTAACAAGCCACCATCCATGGGAACCGCACACAAGTACATTAAATAATAAACATAACACACCTCATTATACCATATTGTGTGTTCAAAGAATACCAAGGCATGCAGAATACATGTATAAACCTCAGACAATATAACTACTTTTAGAATCAAGAACTAAAGACAGCAGTACAGTAAAGCAATAATGTAAAGGTATCCACCTGATAATGACCATACAAGGTCAGAAATGTTGTAGAAGTGACAACAGTGCAGACTAACAGTCTATGGGCACAACAAGACTTACCTTCAAGGCTGCCCACACAAATTAAATCAATTAGGGCAACATAATGCTGAATATAACTAGATATTTTCTTGAGAGGTCACTGACACACAAATATCCATCCATCCTGTAAGAGCATGGACATGGTGCTGGTATAATGAATTAAACACTCCAAAAACTTGTTTTATTTTTAATTATTTTATCACATAAGTTGCTACAACCTCATTGCTGACAGTAACATTTCTAGATATGGTTTTCTTTTTTCACAGGTTTATATAACTGTGCCCTGTTTCATGTAAGACTCTCCACCAGTAAATCCACATTTGAATCTATATGTGGTTGATAAACCCAGGTAGCTGCGTGATAGATGATATATGCATTAGTGCAGCAGTGATTTATGTTATTCTTCACTCTGTTCTTTGCTGTAAGTTCAAGTCTGTAAGCCTCATAAAGCTCTTCACTTACTTGCCCTGAAATGTAAGAATTTAATTACATTTATTGTTTCATTTTACAGTGCATGTGTACAGTTGATTTTATTTATTTTATTTATATATGGTAGCTTCAAATTAGTGAGTAATTAATTGAACATGGCATGGAAGGAAGTGGTTGTGGCCTAATTTGGGGTACTGTCCCAGTATTTGCCTGGTGTTACACAAAATGCATGAAAACTTTAGTCAGTCAGTCAGTATTCAGGACCTCTTGAGCCGAAGCAGGAGTGCTTCCCATTCCGCAGTGATGTTTGGTCATGCTGCTGAAGTCACATAATTTTGTAAACCATTATTCAAGGATACTTGATACTCGGTATGCATGAAAGTTTCAATGTAAGCCACAAGCGGCCTCCGTAGTCTAGGGGTAACGTTCCCACCTCATGACTCAAGGTACATGGGTTCAGTCCCGGCAGAGGTCGTGGAATTTTTAAGGGCAGAAAAATTCAGTGAACAAGCCCTCCAGGAGGGACTTTAAGCTGTGTGTCCCATGTTGTAGATTTACGGTACGTAAAAGATCCTCATGTCTCTAGGAGACCTCTGAGCAAAATTAGGCAGTTTCCCACCCAAGTAGTTTCCAATTCCTCCAGTAGATGGGGAAGTGTCAGGGACCACTACCGGAGAGGGCCAACCTCACTGGCAGAAAGGGGCTGATAGCGAGCACCAGTACTGGAAGGGCATGGTGACTAGTTATAATAATTAAAGGGCGACACACAATAGATCAATAAATGGTCACAGTGCATGGGGTAACCCACCCCCTCTGAATAATAATAATAATAATAATAAGCCACAATTAATAGAAGTATCTTAGTGTATGGATTAATGCACATATTTTAAAGAACTCAAACTCTTTGTGTGTGTGTCTTGCAACTTCTGAAACAGCTGACCAAAGTTCTTAAAATTTGATACAAATTTTATTGCATGCCACCTGAACATTATAGAAAGGTAAAGCTGCCCCTGTAACAGGCCTTGGAGGCCCATAGGGTTGTGAGAGGTCGAGGCTCCCACATTTTCTAGACAGTTAGCTCACAAATGACAGTAAAGTAGTGAGCCTTATATGCC